CTAACCTCCCTGCAAGAGAAAACTTAACAGCAAATGTGTAGCAGAATGAATTCTAATTGAATAGTGAACTTTTGTAATTATGTTCCCTGCAGAGGAAAAACATCTCATTCTTTATGGAATTTGATGGTCAAGTGACTCAGATGAATAAATGATAGCATGTTTGAATTGGGTAGTTGTGTTGCGATATCCTGCTATGGCAACAGAAAATGACCATGACTAAAAAAATGCAGTGGAAAGGAAAGTAGTGAATAATGCAGAGTGTTAAAGGTTAAGCTACATGGACAAAGCAGCAAGAAAGGGTTTTGGAGTCCATCGACTACTGGAAAAAATGTCTTGGAACAGCAAGAAAATGAACTCAAGAAAGCTAAGAAAGGTAAACATAACTTTTATTGCCCAATCCAACATTGGAATAGAATTTGGGGATGACATAAATAAAAGATGGAAAAATGATAATAAATGAGGTGGGTCTACTTTTTTAGCAGGATAAAAGATTTAGAGTTTGGCATGATCTGAACATAGGTGTTAATGGTTTATTAAATGGCGGGATTTGTCAATATGAAGAAAAACATCCCTTGCACAGAAAATTTCCACTGATTATGGAGAAAAGAAAATATTAGGATCTCATAAATTTGTTATAAATGCACAAAAGGAAACTTGTTTTAAACTAAACCAAATGGAGTAATGGGGGAGAAAGTTTGACAGGAATTTGCATATTTTGGGATGGTACTTCAATACCATCCCAAAATATGCAAATTCCTGAATATTTCCTGAATATGCTCTGTAGGAATAAGGGTGGGCCTAATATGCCTGTTTGTCTTTTATACTATCAAATATAGTTATAGAAATGCCACACATTGGATGTTGTTACAAGTTTGTGTGTCTTTGTGTTTATGTGGATTGAGTCTGGAAGCAAAGTTGAGGATTTTACCTGAAATCGTATGCATTCAATTAACCTCTATTTACTTCCACTAAGACAATAAAGTGATGGGATTTTGGGGCCTTGTGCCTAATTAAGAAAACATGATCAATTGATTTGTTTTTTAAGACTTATCAACTTTTTGCTGGTTATTTAAAGCTCGAAAATATTCAAGGAGACAAAAGATGATGATTGACATTGCATTTAGATTTTTGAAGATCAGAGTTGAGAGGTAAGCAAGAAGACAACTAAGAAGATGTTACCGAGGAGAAAGGACAATAAAAAAACAGGATTCAAGAAGACAGAAGAAAATTGACATTGCATTTAAAGTTTTGAAGATTGTAGTTGATAGGAAAGCAAAAAGGAAAGTGAGAAAACATGGCTGAAGAGAAAGGACATTTGACAATGCATTTAAAATTTTGAAGATCGTAGTTGACAGGAAAGCAAGAAACCAGAAGAGAGTTCTATGAGAAGTGTGAGAGAAGGAATTATTAGAATAGAATTTACAGTTACACTGAGCAAATTTCAACCGTAAAAAGATGAGACCTAACTGCCAATCTAGTACCATACTTAAATCCTTGAAGTCAAGGTATCAAAGAAGAAAGCTCATTAGAACAATCAAGTGAATTTGTTTTTTATGGCTTATCCACTTTTTGAAGGTTATTTAAAGTCAGAAAATATTTTTGATTCAAAGAATTTGTGGGGGTGGGGATAATAATGATTTACTGATACAAGTCCTATAATTAACCCTATAGCTGGGCGGGGGAGAAGAGGTGGATTCATACCTTTCCCAAGGTTATTAACAAAGACATAGACAATGGAATGAAAACAATCTGTGTCAATGGATTGAATAAACAGTTCAATTCAAAATCCCGATAATGTTACACACAACCCATAATACATAAAACATGTAATGCATATAATGTTTATATACATGTGTATTATGTATGTTCCAAAGGTTGTCATAGTTGGGGATGATAATGGGGACAAGCTCTCACTGTTTCTAAAATGCTTCCATGTCATGTGTCTCAAAAACTGGTGCCTCATGACCAGCTGCTTTGGGTAGATGGAGCTCAACAGCCCAGGAATTCAGTCCATCTAGGGGAAGGAAAAATCCTGATTTTAAACCTCAGCTGCCTTGTAGTCATATCCCAAACACAGGCTATAAAAGTAAATCTAGACAGAAAACCTGGAGTGGAGCCCCAAAGGTGGTTGGCTGTCAACAATGACAAATTCCCCTGTATTATTTTGGATCTTGTTGGTATGACTAAGAGGTGTGTATGTGGGGGAGGCATGTAGTTTGGGCAGTGTACAGCCTTCATATACCATTGTCCAGTATGTGCTCTGGAGAGATTGCTCCAGTTTCACCACCAAAGGGCTGAATTTTGACAAAATGGTGTTACCTGTATCACGTGAGATAAACAGATGCCGACTACAACAGATATTTGAAGAAAGCCAGAAATACCTTCTGGCTTTTAAAACAAAAATCAAAAAATGTTCAAAACTTTGATGTGGCCACTAGTGCAGTAGAAACAGGATATATAAACTTTATATATCAGGCTCATGGTGGGGAATTGAATAACAAAAATACATAGAATTCCATTTTGCTGTTCAGTTATCCATTAATTAGTTTATATGAATAACTAGCAGTAGAGCCCGGCGTTGCCCGGGGATGTAACAGTAAGAGATAGATCAAGTATCGACCATCATAAAGACTGAAAAATAAAATTGACAAAGATTATTGTTTAAGGTTGACGGACACGCATGTCTTAATTAGGTTTTTTTTTTGTTTTTTTGGTTTTTTTTTTACGAATTGGTCAAACCAAAACTCAAAAAAAAAACATTGTTTTCAATCGTTATGAGTCTATCGATTGAATAGAATTTTATTATAAACAATTGTCTTGTAAATGGAATTTTTAAAGCATTCTGAATGTAAAAATAAAGAAAAAAGTGTGCAAGACAATAAGAAACACTACCTGCCAAAAAAAAAGTTATGTTATGTTGAAATCGGTTGAAAAATGTAGGAAATCCAATCCCATATATAAATGAACACACACACACACACAAACAACCTGGGTTTTATAAGTATAACTCGATATGAGTTGTCCCCCTTTCATTCTGGCGACAGAATCGTGTTTTATCATGTTTTCAAATTGATTTTGTGCAAAAACAATTGTGTTTTTCTAATTTTTGGCACTGTCACAACCACCACAAGGTAATTTTACGCAGTCCTGTGAAGTTCTGTTGAAATCGGTTGAAAAATGTAGGAAATCCGATCCAATATATAAATGTACAGACCCACACACACACACACAATCTGCTTTTTATAATAAGTAAGATTCCTTATTACAGAAACAGATGAAACATTGTGAGAGTAAAGAAACCATGAAGAGGCTACTAGTTGGAATAAATGAATGGCAAACTGGTAAAAAGCAGCTATACTGAACAGACCTGTTCCTTCACCAGTCATTCTTCTTTCTTTGTGTTACATGATGAACATATTACGTTGTGGCTTTAATCTTGTGTTTCCCAGGTTAATGTTACCATTGCTGGTATATTCTTTCAGTTGTATTTCTAAACATTGGAGTGCGTATGGAAGTTAAAAATATTGTTTATATGCATTTTAGGTGTGTGCGTGCTCACATAAGATAGAAGCATACACAAAACTTTGGTTTCTACTACAGGTCGTTTATTCCCTTTTTTATGGTGACTGTAGTAAACAAAGATCTCAATGTCTCTTGGGTATTTCCGTTTTCTGTTTTAGTTCAGAAATTATGGTAAGTAAGGATAAGAATGGTTAAAATGGTTGAGTTCAAGTCAGCCTTGCGCTTAGTTAGAACAACCAAAGTACTTCATGCGTGGGGCTGCAAGACATGTCTGAATACTGTCATTGGAAAGAGAAAAATTGTGTCCTTTCCAGAAGTGGGGTCATAAAATCATGCAGATGACCAAAAACCCTTTCTGACTTCTTTACTATTAGCATTATAGGCAGGGCCAGTGCCTACTACCCCACAACCTGATTAGGGGCCCAGGGCAGTGCTTTGATCAACATTTGCTTTTTTTATACCTACATTTATATATCTTACAACTAAGCATCACTATTATTAAAGGATGAAAAGTTTGATGTAATTCTGGGGGCTTTTTTTTTCCATTTTTTTATTCACATGATTTTGTTTTGCTTATGCTATGTCTCGAAAAAAAATAAAATAAAATTCACTATTTTTTAACCATAATGTTGAATGTGTTAAAATTTTTCAACTTTTTAACAAGAAAGATCTCAAGTTGATGTTAACAATTGCCACAAAACAGTATTGATCTATTTAAGGTGGAATTAATGACATTTTAATAGGGGTAGATAGATTTATCTACCATCTGGTTCACAGCCTTTTGAACAGGAGTAGAGGTTTATCCCTTGTTTCCTCTGTTTAGGGTTGAGTTTCTGGCTTCTTTTAAAGTCTTCTCATTCTCTTTCACTCCCAGTAGCCACTTGAATCTTAGTAGTATTATTGCCTTGTTTGAGGTAAATTAATTTAAAAAAAAATGTCTGTAATGTGTATTTAAATACATTGTATTTATTTTCAAGTTTTCTAGTTGAATTGTTCACCTATATTGCATATGATCCATTATTGTACATAATTAGGTTGCAATAAAATTCATATTTTATATGAATTTCTACCTTATGAAAATTAAAATGTAGCAGAGTGGGGGACCCAGTATCATAGATTCGGAAGGGGTGGGGGCACGAGCCCTGCAGTGAATCTTAGTAGAAGTGACTGAGGTAAAATTGTAACTTGTGATAGTGAAAGTTAAGGGATAAAATTAGCCTATGGGAGGTTTCAACTTGACATATATGATACTGGGTGAATTTTGTTAGCCACTTTTTTTTTTTTTCTTAAATGTGTGCAATATGCAATATGGTCATTTGTTTTTTTATAAAAACATTTCCTTTAAAAAGAAAATCATTTATTTAAAATATTTTATTTACATCTTGGTGTGTACAAGTAAACAAAAAGAGTTATTTTTAATATCATTGTTCGAGGAGGCAAAATAGAAAATTTATTAGTTTTGAAATTTGTTTCAACAATCACCTTTGCAAGCGAGAAGCCTTGAATCTGGACACTGGTTTTGGCTGTTGGGGTTTTGTATCTGAATCCGTATTTTTGTTAATGGGCATCTGAGGAATCTTCTCCACGACTTCTTCAGTAACTGCCTACATTGAAAACAATTCAAAAAGATATTAATTTTGGTTGATTCATTTTCTACAGCTTATCGACTCTTTGCTGGTTATTTAAAGCCAAAAATTATTTTTAAAATGTAAGAATAATTTTTGCATATAATAATGGTTTAGTGATAAGTCTTACAAATTAACCCATAGCTGGGGGGAGAAGAGATGGATTCATACCTAATCAAAATTTGAGAAACAAGAAATTATAATGTGGATATAAAGTGGGGGATCAATTCTATATTATGATCAATATATAAAATGATTCCTCACTTTATGGTCATGGTTGTTTCTATATATTTATATTCCAGAGAATGTAAATAAATCTAAAAGGCATGCCTGTGTAGATAATCAGTATTCCATTGATTGATTGATTTACTTTCTACAACTTATCAACCCTTTGTAGACCAGGTTTATACACAATATCACCAATCATTGCAAAAATAATAACACAATAAGAACTAACAGAGAAAAAACAGATCTACTTGGAGTGGATTAATTTAAAATCCTACAGACGGTTTCAATATGAACCCCCTCCACAATTGTTTGACTTAAGCAACTGATAAGTTATTTATTACCCTTTTATTAAAGTTATTTATTACCCCTTTATTAAAGTTATTTATTACCCTTTCTCAAAATTTTCAGTGTCCTTTCCTTACACACAGGGTTTGCCTCTCATTTTAACCTAAGGACCCCTGCCAAACATAGGCAAAATGCATTGTTTGTCAAACCTTTTCTCCTTTGCCTTATTATCTCTACTAAAATGTATCTTACACACACACACACACACACACACACACACACACACACACACACACAGGAATTATTATGTGTGGGGCATAGAATACCAAAGATGAACTGAAGGCAAGGATTATGGCAGCATTCACCAACTTAAACAAGGAGACTGTCCAGAAGAGTTGCAGGAGATTCTGAAGTCATCTGGAGGCTGTGGTTGTAGCCAATGGTGATTTTATTGAATAAATCTACTCTTTAGTATTTCAAGATATTTTTGTGTAATTTTGGTAAATATATCTGTTAAAATGAGATGTCAGTTTTATTTTCATTCTTGCATGATTTAGATGACAATTTAGCCATCGCATCCTGTATATCTGCTCAAATGAGATGTCAGTGTTATTTTCATTTTTGTGTCATTCAAATGACAATTTATCCATCGCACCCTGTATTTAAACTCCTGTACTCTTTTTGATATTGACATTTCTAATTTGTAGCTCTTCTCTTGTTAACAATCAAATATTGAGTCAGGGTTAATCCATTCTTCTCACTTTCCTTTACTACCTTGTTTAGGAGGTCCTGTAGTTTTACTTTCGTAACTATCAACGCAGTGTCATCTGTGTATCTTACATTGTTTAAATAAATCCTGGTATGGTTTTCAGCTCTCTTAGCACAGCCTTGCTGTAGAGGAGTGGTATTTTCCCCCCGGTACATTATTTTTACCATAAGTCAGAGTGTCATCCCCCACCCCAGCCACTTTCCAAGATTGTCCGGCTCAAAAGGTGCATTCCAAATAATATGCATATATTATTGAAAATCTTCATTCTTTTCCCTATTAGTACGTATACATTGACATGGACTATTTTTGTAGTGGCAAAAAACACAAGAGCTGGTGAAAACAAAAAAAAACAGGATGACCTCTCCGTGGGTTGTGTCGCCTTGGGGAGTTCAAAAGTTAACATTTTGAGTTGACCAATCTGTGGCCCCAATTCACCCTCTGAAATCCTGGAATTCGCCACTGGTTGTGAACCTCTGGCCTAGTAGATTAACATGTTGGTTCATGAATTTGATGACATAGTAATTGTGAGTTCAATCCCTGGACTTTGAGCAATAACTGAGCAGTACTAAAAATAAAAACTAGATGAGATCTCCCTAGACACGAACAGTGGAATGAGAACAGTCTACTCCTGTCGATTAAATAAAGGGTTCTGTTCAGAATTCCCTGTAGGTTACCTAGATCAATATACACCTGATGAAGGCTGGAAGGCACAATGGCTGAAATGTTGTGATAACAACAACAAAGATGAGGACAATAGTCCAAATGTAAATAAAAACATGCAATTGAAGGTAAGGTTACCAGTCAGACTAAAATTTTGCTTTATGAAATTGTCAATAATTTCTGAAATAATTCATTGATTATAAAGGAAGATATATTTTTCATATAATAAAATTTAAGCTTGGAATACTAGACTCATGTGTCCAATTTTGTTGTTTTACTTTAGAAAAAATATCTTAAATGACTCGGTTGGTTTTCTGACGCCTGACATTTCTCAACTTTATATTTCATTGTAGAATTATTAATTATGATTCTTTTGAGATTTTCTATCACAAATTTACAAACCTTTTCTCTCTGGAAATGGCTTTTTTGTTCAATCATCTTAACTGGAACACTCGAACTATTTTCCTGGGGTAAATTTCCTTCAAAGGATGTCGACTTCAGAATAGATTTAGGTGCTGTTTGAGATTTTTGCCCAAAATATTTATAGATATCAGTTGGACTGTTAATTATCATACCACTTCCTTCCTCCTTTTGGGTTGCTGCTGGCAACTGAAATAAGAAAACAGAATTGGGAAAATAAATCTACGGATTCTTAGCAACAGACAGGGGGCTGGTTCAAGGGTCTTATGTCCCCCACCCCTGAATTTATGATTTCCTCCTCCCACTACATCTCAATTTTTATAAGTTAGCATTTATATAAAATACAATTTTTATTATAACCTAATTATGTGCAATAATGGATCATATGTAATATAGGTGAACAATTCAACTAGAAAAATTGAAATAAAATACAATGTATCTAAATACCAGATTAGAGACACGTCATAATAATGTATCTAAATACCAGATTAGAGACACGTCATAATAATGTATCTAAATACCAGATTAGAGACACGTCATAATAATGTATCTAAATACCAGATTAGAGACATGTCATAATAATGTATCTAAATACCAGATTAGAGACACGTCATAATAATGTATCTAAATACCAGATTAGAGACACGTCATAATAGGTCATTCTGTCTTAAATAAATCAATAATGTTTTTTTTTAACATCAACTGGAGATTTTTCTTGTGAAAAAGTTGAATAATTTTAACATATTCAACACTGTGGATAAATATAGTGAATTTTATATAGTGTTTTTTATGAAACTTAGCATGAGAAAAACAAATTCATGGCTTTGGATGAAAAAAAAAAAAAAAACCCAGAATGACATCAAAATGTGTGAAAATTTTTCATCCATTAATAGATGTGCTTAGATTAATTTGTAATATATATAAATGTAGGTATAAAAAGACAAATGTTGATAAGATAGCAAAGTTGACAAAGCACTGCCCAGGGTCCCAATCAGGCTTGCCTCCAACCCATGTCTGGAGTGGTGGTGGTGGGGTGGCTTTGGTGTAGTATGCACTGGTTCTTGCAGCAGATAAATTAATATTTTAGAGTTTTTTTTTTTTTTGCTTATTTTTAGTCCTTTCAAAACATAAACAATTATGTCACATGCTTAAGACACTAAATGTAGCAAAACAAAAACGCAACTGAAATCCATGTCGCATATAAGGAATATGCACATAAATAGGCATGTTTTTTCTGATTGTACAATAGCATCCTTATTGGATTGTTCAATTTTTGGTTGCCATTTTGATATGAAGGCTAGCCCATATTGAAAACAAGAAAGAAAGAAAATTGTTTTTGTTTTCTTTTAAGTCCTTTTATTTTTCCTTTTTGATTTTGCAGTTTTTTCCCCCCATTACACCAAGCACAAGTGCATGAAAATTTCTATCACAAACTTAAACTAAAAAAAAAATAACAACTATGGATATGCAATACATTTGGATATATAATCCTGACAGAGTTATAAGTTATTGACATTTGGAAAAACGTTCATGAAAGTATGTCTTGAAAATAATATCCGATAATGCATTTTGTTTATATGGCATGTTCAGATGGATAACAAAAAATGTGTTGTGAAATGCATTATTGGATATTATTTTCAAAACACACTTTCATGAATGTTTTTCCAAATGTCAATAACTTATAACCTATGGATATACATGAATTATTATCTAAGTATTGTAAACTTTTTATTTATTAAAAAAACAGATTTTATTCAGTTTGAGTCGGTTAATGTGTGGCACTGAGGCCATAAAGGGGTTAAATGTTAATTCTGAGCAGGAAAGGGTTAAGCCCAAAATGAAATGTAAGCTGAGAGAGAGAGAGAGAATGGAGACATTTTTCTTTGTTATAATAGGACCGTCTGGATTTTTGCTCTTTTAAAGTTTATTTTTTTATATATTGAGAATCAGGTATGTGTACAAAAATAGATTTGGAGAAGTGGTTTTATCTCTTCCTTCAGGAATTCAGAAAACACATATCATTAACGAGAAGAGAGACAGATGAAGCTTATATTTTCGTTGATGAAAATGAATTGGGAAATTTAGACAAAGAATGAATCTGTTGTGAGGGTCGAAGTTATGAAGATTGATCCTGTAGCTGACAAGCAAGTGATCCGGTTTATATTTTCACTAGACAGAGATCAGCCCAGGAATAGAGAAACAATTTTATCTCTTCCTTGAGAATTTAGGCAAATAAATATCATTAACAAAATGAGAGACAGACGGGGCTTATATTTTTGTTGATGAAAATGAATTGGGAAATGTAAACAAGGAATTATTTGTTTGTTGATGTGCTGGAGAATGAATGCCTCAGACATGATATAATTAAGGAGGCTTCCAACCAGGTTGTCAGTGGCCATCAATCTGGCCAAAGACAGTGAGACATTTTGGAAGAAGACAATAATAGAAGTTCAAGTTTCAGAATCAGGAAGGTGGCAGTCAGAGTAAAGAGAAGAAATCCTCTGTTGTGGAAAAGGTGGGGGGGGGTGTCTGAAAAATTGAGAGACTGAACCCAATAGAAGAAAGTGTTTCTGAGGCATGGGCACAGACAGTACATGTATGCAGATAGATGGGTGGAGAGGAGGTTAGCCCCACCCTCAAAAGGAAAGCCCCCCCCCAAACCAAGAGACTAAAACTAAGGGATTCCCCAAGAGAAATTTTAAACTGCCAAAGGATGCTCTATATGGGATGATAAATCTCAGTCATAATTGTTAAAAGCAGTGAGAGAGAAGAGAGATACAAGCTTATAAGAGGGAGAATATTCTCATAGGAGTCAGAGTTAAGCTTTAACAGAGAGGGAATTATGAACGGAACATTTTGCTTGATGATAGGAAGAGGAAAGTGAGATAGTGAAGCCCAGTACTATGAAAAGTAAAAATTAAATATTTTAAATCATAAATGTCTTCTTTGAATTTAAAATTCGATTTATTTGAAAGATGATGGTTTAGCTAGAGTTAATCTGAATTAAAAAGAGATTAATTTCTGTATATAAATAAAAATTTTTTAGGCATTTTTAAAGTATTAGTAATTTTTTCTCTTGTCATTTATCGAAGCCAGCATTGTATATGGGGAAATAAGAAAATGAAAAAAAAAGAATTGCAATAAAGCTAAGATGTTATTTAATTAGGGAAGCTTTTGATTGTTGTATGAATCAGATTATGGACACTATTGTCTTGAATAAAAAAAAACAAACTTTTTCAATGAATACTGAGTTTTTGCAGGAATTGTTTTGATCTTTTTGAAATTTGATTGGAGTAATTTATAGGGTTTTAAATATCTGTCTATATTTCTGAGATGAGATATGTACACTGTTTACATTATCTTTAAGGATACATGGCACAGTGGATAAAGGTGTTGGTTAGATCCAGTGACAGGACCCAAAGAGTTGTGAGTTCAATACCTGGTTAAGGCAGTGAAGAACTTGGAGAGGTGAATTAACAGGAGATAACTGACATCCATTAGACATGGCACTTGGAACTAGAACAGTCTACTCCAGCAAGTGAAATAAAGGGTTCAGTTCGACATACTGACCACCTGAAGAAGGCTGGAGCGTACAATGGCCGAAACATTGTGGCAACAAAGATGAGGACAATAGTCCAAATAATGTAAATAGGGTTTTAAATCTTTTAAAATTCTGTGTTGATTTTTACTGGTTAGGTGATGTAGTTAAGTAAAAACTATAATTGTAAATGGAAGGCCTTGGTAAAGTTCAGCAAACACCAGTATTTAAAAAAAAAAAAATAAACAGATCAAAAACCTTGGTGCTTAGTCATTTGGAATTTTGTGGAAAGTTATGAGTGGATAGATAGACTATATCTATTCTGTCAGTTGATTGTTGAATAAATCTGAACTTAATGTCACTGTGCTAAAATTGGTTTTGGTTTAATAATAGGATTAATAATAATAATGGACCACCTGTTGCTAGGTAACGGCTGAACATCAACAAGGAATTCTGGGCTGCCAATTTAGTAGGTGCTCATAGGGTGTCAAGATGGTGTAATAATGTACTGTAAATAAGCATAAGCATTGTTACAATGGGTGTGCTCAAGTCAGCCTTGTGCAGAGTTGAAACAACCAAAGGAAGATTTATACTTACTTTATCATCGGTAGATTTAAACATGGTTATGGGATGTCGGTTTTCTTTTTCCTTACTCTGCACAAAACTGACTTGAACTCGACTATTAATATAATGCTTATACTTACCCTAATTCCTGGACCATAAGGAAAACAGACATATCCAAGAGACATTAAGAACTTTGTTTCCCTACAGTCACCATAAAAAGAGAAATGGTCTGTGGTTGAAACTTAACTGTTTATCATATATAAACACATACCATACCTAAAATATATAAACATGCAACCTTTTGACTTCCAAAGAATCAAAAAATCTTCATTCCTCTGTATTCTAAAAGGAGGAAGTTTACCAGTTCAGACCTTTACTTCTAGGATGTACCATGTTACTTCCAAGAATCAAAACATCTTCATTCCTCTGTATTCTAAAAGGAGGAAGTTCCACTCAAACAGCTTTTATCTCAAGAACTGTCACCTTGTGGAACAGGTTCCCATTTTGGTACTTCCCAGAACATTACTATCTCAACCTCTTCAAGTCAAGAGTCAGTTGTTATCTATCCTCCTTATTCTCATAATCTTCACTTCCTACCTCACAGCTCATACAACATAACCATTTTAACAGTAACAGGTATCTTGACTTCAGTCACTTTCAACATGACATGTCTTCCTTCTTTCTTTTCTACAAATATTTCCATGGCAACTGCTCTGATGGGCTTTATTCCCTGGTGTCCTGACTACATGAATTTAAGCATGCTACTAAATTGGCCATTAGGCCCCACATGTTTACTATTGCAATAGCTAAATGCAACCACTACTTCTAATCCAACAGTTTCCTTTCTCTCATTTCCAACCTGCGGAACTCCCTTTCATTTACAATCTTCAAAAATTTAAATGCAGCATCAATTGCCATCTTCTATTGTCTTGAATCCTGTTCATCTTTCTGTCCTTTCTTCAATCCTACCTAATCTCTTTCACTTTCACTCCCTGTAACCCCCTGTACACTAGTTGCATTCCTACCTTGCTTGGGGTGAAAAAACTTTAATTGCCTTTCAAGCCTTTTATTGCATAAATTCTAGCATTAAATTAAAAAAAAAGTTGGTCAAGAAAAAATAGTTAAGTATACTCCTAAGACTTACACCCTCCATCACCAAATAGACTGCACTGCTTGCAATGGGTGGAGGAGGATCTATACAGATAAAATTATGTTTCTGTCTGTTCACTATAGACTCAGAAAATACAAGATGGATTTCAACCAAACTTGCCATGTAGATAGGCTATGTAAAATTAACCTAGAATGTCATGAAAGGTCAAAATTAAGGTCAAAGAAACCATTTCTCATGTAAATTGAATATTGATTCCTATGTACAAAATATAGCTGTAAGGGAGGTAAATCAACTTTTGGTAGTAAGTTAATGAGTGGTTACTTCCCTTAGTCATTTTAATAATCTATACAAATAAAATGAAGTGTCCGTCTTTTTATTTAAACAAAATTAATTTCAAAACAACATTGGTATTGCTGCTAGTATCACATAAAACAAACCATGAAATGAAAGGTCAACATTAAATAATGAAAAAAATTGTAAATATTATGTTTATACTAGACAAGATTGATTCATTTTTTACAACTTATCAACCCTTTGCAGGTTATTTAAAGCCAGGAAATATTTTTAGGTTATAAGAATTTTTTTGAGATAATAATAATGATTTAGTGATGCAAGTCTTCCTAATTAACCTATAGCTGGGGGAAGAAGAGATGGATTCATACCTTTCCCAAGGGTATTTGCCTGTAAGTGAATATAACAGAACCAACTGAAATTGGAATTGGGCTCTCTGATTAACAATTCCGAGTCATTATACCATATAACACCTGGTATTTGCAAGCAGTCACCCATCTTGGTACTGACCAGACTCAATGTTGCTTAACTTTGGTGATCATATGGGAACCAGTGTTTCAACATGTGGCCATAAGCATAGTTTCAAATTCAAAGTACATATAACTTTTTAAGCAGCCAGGGATTCATTTGAGACTGAATTTATATCATCAATAGGACCCTCTTTTAAAATTATAAAATTTTTTTTCAATACTGACAAGTAATCTTTTTCAATACTTGACAAGTAATAAATATTCTATCAATGTGAATAATAAAATATCTGTGAATAAAACAACAAAATTTGAAGAAAGTTTCAAAGTGTTTTTACCTCTGTTAAACAAGGCACAACAGGGGAATGAGTAAAGTGAATCACTCCAGGATTTCCTTTATTTTCTGTCCTCTTGTCGTGCTCTGTACCTTCGTCAGATTCTGAACTTGAACTGTCTGTGGGATCCTTCTCCTCTGTTAATTCATCTAACCACCGAACAGTCTTTTGACCTGGGGAAAGTGTTCTTTCAGCACTTGGAGGTGGCTGGCTCTCTTCTTGAGAGGGTTTAGTATCAGCAGCAGTATCATCCTCACTGCCATAAAAAAAAAAAAAAAGGAAATTTGGAATCCGAAATAGTTAAAAGAAATGGTTGGATATAGTTCTTTGTCTGGAACAGGATATTATTATGGCAATTAAGACAGACACAATTAAAAAGTCACACACAGAAGAATCATGACGACTGAAGCTGGTGCAGAAAATAGAAACACAGAAAGGCAGAAAAATGAAACAAAAATGAGATAGCATATTCCATCAGCATAGCTGATGCTGACCTCTAAGAGAGTCGCTCTCACTGCACCTTCTTGGACTAATGATTTCCACTGACATTTGAAAATTGTATCAATTGTCAGGTCTGCAGCTAGGAATGTTGGTTTAATGTGCTGTGCGAGACAATTTTTCTTGCCAGAATCTATCTTACATATTTATAAGTCTACCATTTGTCCATACTTCGAATATTCCTGTCACTAGAGATTCTGCTGTGTATCTAGCGATTCTTAACAAAATCCAAAGAAGATTGTCAGACTAGAAAAGCAATAAATAACTGAATTAAAATAGTGTGGCTCAATAGAAGAAAATTCTGTAATTAAAACCAAATTGAAGTTCTATAATTTCAAAGCGATATCTATGCTGGTCGATCACTGTAAAACTGTAAATTAAACAAACCCAAAGAAAAAACTGGACACAAGGTACTGACTTACAAGGCTAAGTATCAAATGGAATGATGGTTTCAAATAAATTATTTTTTAGCATGTCTGATGTTAACCTCCAAGAGAGTGACTCATTGCACCTTCTCGGACTAATGTTTTCAGCTGACAAAGTGGAAAGAGTATATTGAGTCAATTGCTAAGTCTGCAGCTAAGAAAGTTGGTTCACTATGTCAACTTAGACAATTTTTCTTGCCAGAATCTATCTTACATATTTTTAAGTTTACCATTTGTCCTTGCTTTGAATATTGCTACCACATCTGGTCTGCTGTATATTTAGAGATTCTTGATAAAGAATCTACAATGTTATTGGTTTTGACCTGGCATCTCGGCTTTAGTCACTTTCCCACTGCTGTAACGTACCTTCCCTTTTCTATAAATATTTTTATGGTAATTGTTCTGATGAATTTTCCTCTTTAGGGTTTCATTTTTAGAAGTTGTTATTTTTATTCCCACCCCCTACAGACAAATTGTACATATGGGAACTAGTTAGGATTTCATAGTGACATTGAGATGTTATGGTGGCTGTAATGAGAATGGTATATAAGAACATGTTCTTTTGGAATTGTGGTATGTTTTGGTCATTAATTGTGGTCAGCTAAGTTTAAGATAAGACAGATTAAAGACTAGTCTTCTCCTATCCTCCCTTTTGGCCTTGTGATACATTTTTGTATTCTCAAAATAAATATTACTTTCCTCTATGGTACCTATTCATGAATTTAAGGACAGTACTAGTCTAATCAATTTACAGTGGAATTGGCTAGATGTAACTGTTAAGTTCTATGCTAACAGTTTCTTCTCTTGAACTTCTTGCTTGTGGAACTCCCTTCCAGCTTCTTGTTTTCTGGTCAACTTTGATCTTTAAAAATTTAAATACAATGTCAATCATTATCTTGTCTTCTTAATTCCTGTTCTTTCATCATTCTCTCTTAATGATTTTCTTCTTCTTGTATTCTTTCATACTCAGTAACCCCTTGCATCTTAGTGACTTTATTGCAATGTTTGGGGTGAAATGATTTAAAAAGAAAAGAAAAGTTAATTTCATCCTTGATACTTACTCTAATTCATTTCGTTCTGCTTCTAATTTCTCCAATTCCTCCAATCTTTCCCAAAGACTTTGATCTTCCTGTTTCTTTTGATTTGCTTCTTTATCCTCAAGTTTCTTTCGTTGCAAATCAGCATGGTACTTTTTAACGTTCTTTTTATGCTGAACTGAAAAACAAAAAAAATCATCCAAAGATATTTCAATTGGAAAGACTGACATTTTAATATTTTAAAGAAATAAACTAAAGCAAAGTAAACAATGATTTCTCTTGATGCAGGCACTGCTTCTGGTTAGACCAAAATCAACAATAATGATATTCTGCACATATAAATGACTGGTGTAAAAAAATGGAAGACAATTTCAACAAGGTGTTATTTTATATTTTGGTTTTTATAGGATTGCCTATAGTCCGGTTCACACTCACCAGTCTTTTGAACAGGAGTAGAGGTTCATCCATTGTTTCCTGTTCCTTGTAAAGTCTACTTCAAATCTATACTCCTAATGTCTCCACCTAAACTCTGAAATTTTATTTATTATTTATTTTTTCTTCAACAGGAATAGATATGTTCACCTATCATCCAGTTCACACTCCCTGGTCTTTTGAACAGGAGTAGAGGTTTATCCCTTCTTTCCTGTTTAGGATTGGGTTTCTGGTTCCTTCTAAAGTCTACTTCAACTCTATACTTCTAATGCTTTCACCTAAACAATGAAATTTTATTTATTTTTAAAAGTTTTTCCTCAAAAGGAATAGATAGTTATGGCTATTGTCCGGTTCACATTCCTCCCTGGTCTTTTGAACAGGAGTAGAGGTTTATCCCTTCTTTCCTGTTTAGGATTGGGTTTCTGGTTCCTTCTAAAGTCTACTTCAACTCTATACTTCTAATGCTTTCACCTAAACAATGAAATTTTATTTATTTTTAAAAGTTTTTCCTCAAAAGGAATAGATAGTTATGGCTATTATCTGGTTCACATTCCTCCCTGGTCTTTTGAACAGGAGTAAAGGTGTATCCCTTGTTCCCTGTTTAGGGTCAGGGTTTCCAGTTTTAATGTGTTTTCATTCTTTTTCACTGCCAGTAGCACCTTGCATCTTAGTGGTATTATTGCTTTGCTTGGGGTGAATTGATTAAAAGTAAATAAATAGAAACAATGAGTAAAAAAAGAAAAAAATCCATTAGTATATATGCAAAAGAAGGAAGATATTAAAAGTTAGGAATTATGTGGGAGATACACGTGTGTGTGAAAAAAGGTTAGTCAACCAAGGAAAGATATCCCCAGATTCAAGAACAAGGTTCTGTTAGAGTTACTTCTACTGCATGGTAGAAGGAAAAAAAAAAGAAAGACAGGAAGTGTCCTGTTTTTTTTTAATAACTGTTTGACAGCACCCCTCTAATGACTTCTCAATGAAAACTAGAAAACCTATGTAGGGGTAACCCACAATCTCAAAAAGGCAAAATACATTAACAATTCAAGAAGGAAAAATGTATGTGTGTGTGTGTGTGTGCATGCATTTTTCTCACAATGAGACTAAATCTTTCTTCCTAACTTCTTTCATGTGTTGCATCCCTTCAGGAGATGGCTCTCCATAACTTCCTCTCTTTTGTGCCTCTATGCAATGTCTGTCACTTTACTATGCTTCCCATTCAATGTTCTGCCAACAATTTACACAAGCTTGTCAGGTAAGTTACCCACTCCCACCCTCACCTCTCTTGGCTTCATTATGTCCTGTAAGTGTTCAACTCTCCAAGCCCACTTTTCTTATTACGTGGCCTAAAAATTTCAACTCTTTCTGATTCTAAGTCTTTTTTGTTTTCATTTTCCATCAAACCTTTTGTTACTCACTCCATAATATTCTCAGTATCTTCCTGTAGAACTACATATCTGTTACCTGTTAGTCTCTTCTGTATTGATGAGAAAATTGTCAAGCATTCACTGCATCCCAAGGAGGGATATTGCACAGCAGTTCAGCACTCTTTTGTTTGTTTCTAACAAAATTTTCCTGTTTCTTAATACTTTGTTTAGCTTTTTAAGGCATCTTTCACTATTTCAATGTGCCTTCAGATTCTGGTGACACATAGATTATGTTCTATAATGTTTTTAAAATAGATTTAAATATGTTAGATTTAATAAAAAAAGTTGTATATTATATAAATCCCAAATTATACACAAGTGTTTTTTGCTAATGCAAAGAAATGTTTCACAAGGAAGAGAAAAAAAAGACCTTTTAACATGATAGTTAATATATGTTGAAATAAATGCTTAGCTGTTTAAGATTATTTTAGATTTGAAAAACAAGATGGAAGTTGTTAAGTTTGGTGGGATCACACATATCCTGAAAGGAAATAAGTCATAAAAAGGGGAATAACTAGCAAGGATTTTCAATAAATTACACATTTTGACTATGAAAATGCATTGGAAATGATTTTTATTCTGAAAATGCATCGGAAATGATTTTTATTCTGAAAATGCACTGGAAATGATTTTTATTCTGAAAATGCACTGGAAATGATTTTTATTCTGAAAATGCATCGGAAATGATTTTTGTTAGGAAAATGCACTGGAAATGATTTTTATTAGGAAAATGCACTGGAAAGGATTTTTATAATGAAAATGCATTGGAAAGGATTTTTATTCTAAAATGCATTGGAAATGATTTTTGTTAGGAAAATACATTGGAAATTATTTCAGGCTCAGTTGATTTTATGATATTTTTCCTAAAATTTGTCAATCACTTGTATCAAATGTGGTTATCCTCTGGGTCAATTCAAGTGGACATTTTCCTCCAGGTTTCTCTTGGGAATGGAGGTCAAGTTAATTTCCTGTTTGTCTTTTGCATCCACTTATCTGGGGTTGGGGGAAATCTTTTCCAGTTGATGCAACACTTCTGAATCCATTCTGTTTGACAACCAATGAGTTGGCCATCAAAACGAGGCAAATATTTATTTCACATCAAAAACATTAAGAAACTGCAAAATGTTGCACAATTCTTAATAGTTTGACCAATAACAGGATGAACACTCTTTTCAGCACAAAAGCTCCAACAGCAAAAAAGTCTGTTTCATTAAAAGACATTCTTTATACTTAATACTGATATATGAAATATACATGTTTAATAGATCCATTATTATTATAAATGTAATATACTTATTTTTAAACTTAATAATTCTAGCGATAATAAGATAAATGCTCTTTGCTGAATGAAACCTTCAACTGGAAAAAAAATTGGTTTGATTTAAAAGGCACTTTCTTATATTTAAATAAAACTGGATCAGTGGAAGCATTGTGGAGTAATGGATAGTGGCTCAGATATTGGAATTGGAGAGCCGAGTTCTAATTCCAGTCAAGTTTGTTACATTCACACACATACTAATACCCTTGGGGAAGGCATGAATTCATCTCTTCCCCTCAGCTATGAATAAATAGCAGGACAGACTGGGGCCTACAGCCTTGATTGGCAACCAGTCTAGGAGAAGGAAAACTCTGAATTCAAACCACCTGCCTCCTTGTAGGTCCTGCTTCTTTAAATTCTGAGAGGTGTAACAAGATAACCTCAACATCCCCAGTGCAGAAGGAACTGACAAGCCATTGCTCTATTCTGTCTTGAATGTCACCATTACTCACAGCTGTTAGATGAAAGAGAGTGGTGACCACAGCGGCAACACTAAATGCACTAACTGAATAAATGGTAATGAAAATTGGATCACAGCCAAATGTTTTATCAATTTAATAAATTTCAACTTACCTTTCCATTCTTTCTCCTTTTCTTCATCATATTTTTCATTAATTTCTTTTATGTCACCCATTCCCTAAAAATTAAAAGTTTTCATAAGACACATTTTTATATTTCATATACGATTTTTTTTTAATAAGCAACTTAGGATCTTGACCAGGATTTAGGTTGCTAAAGTTTTGTGCCAGAATTTGCTTAAAATTTTCACTGCAGCATTGTTATAGTGTTGTTGCCTGGCTGTGCTGGCCATTTTGGTTGAAAAATTGGAAATTGCTATAAATTGGAAATAAATGACAATAAAGACACAGATGGCAAATTTTCATTGTTGCCACCATTTTGATAATAATCAGAGACTCTGCAATACAGATGAAGCCTAATGACACCTAACACTGAATATAATAAAAATACATCACAAAACAAATTGTATGTCTGTATAGGTTTCAAAAGTGTACTAAGTGTTAATTTCTGAACCAAGATTTAATAGTGGTTTGAAAATATGTCAACAGCAGGCAATGTAAGTTTTGAAAGATATATAAACATGTCAACAGTAACAGAAGTGTTAAATGGTTTGTTCATTTTTTAATGCTTGGATTCAATCATTAGAAAAGATTGACATTTGAATGTAACTAATATGGTAGAAAATAATATACATAGCAACTTTTGTTTATTTTTATGTTAGCAAATCTGGGGAAGAAAGGAAAAACAAATTTGAGTTTTCTTCTTTATTGGGAATTCACCAGCTTATAGTTTAACAAGATAATTTCCTTATCATTTACAGGGAAACTTAATATATCTACACACACACACATATATATATATAAAGCAACAGTCAAGCAACTTAAGCCAAGTATCTGGCCAATGTTCATTTTCCTTTTCAGAGCATTTAGCAATGTCTAATTTCACTTCCATGGGGATTGCCTTCTTTTTCTTAGAAGCACCACCATCAGAAGAGGTTACACAACACTTGAGAGCCATAATACAGGGTAATATGTTTCCACAAACACAACACAAACGAAAGAGAGCAGATGCACAAAAATTCAATGTGGGTACAGCTAGGAAATGAGCCATACCATCTTATATACAAGGCAAATGGTATAAGTTGAAACAAGATGAATGGAGATTGCGTAATAACCTCAAATCAGTGGTATGTCAGTAATATCATAACCTGGGGACTTACTGTACATACCTCGGTAAGATGATGAATTTCATTGGTAAAACTAGTTCGATTTACCAAAAGATTTTTCTGAAGTTGCAGGTCTTCCAATTGTTTTTCTGTGGCTGAAATCATAAAGCAAAAATTAGATCGTTAAAAATATTGTCTAAACATATGAGTTTTTCTGTTTAATATTTTCAAAGTGGCCAAAAATTATAAATATTTTATAAGACTTATTAGACATAAGATACAAAAACAAATTTTATGAAATAAAGAATTTTGGTAAATGTTTAACTTAGGATCAGGCAAAAAAATGTTATATCAAAAGGATTCTTGCACTTCTTACTTGTAGAACTCTTCCAGCTTCTTGCTTTTCAGTCAACTTTGATCTTCAAAAATTCACAACACTTTCCATGGACATAGCTATATAGCGGCAAGAGGCTTGCGCTGTTTCGTTTGCGAGAAAGGGGTTGTAAGGCGGAAAATAATTCATCACCTCCACAGAGACACTTTTGGACTCTATTGAGACTGGAAAGTGAAGACTGGGCAGCTCCTACCTGTATATGGCAGCAGTACTCCATTTTTAGCCTGATCTTGCTCTTGTAAAGAGAGAGGATAGCAGAAGGAGTTAGTTACTTGTTGGAGAGGTGCAGGGAACTAACCATTTTTCCAACATCTTTAGCAATGAACCGTATGTACGAGATCCATTTAAGGTGTGAGCTGATTTTAAGGTAGAGGGTCTCCTTGACGGAACATCTGTTCATGAGTATACCAAAGAGCACAAGTTCTTCACTTCATTCTTTAGCAGAGAAAAAAATTATGAGTTACGAGGTGCATTCCAGAAGTTTTGAGACTTTTTTTTTTCGGAGGGACAGTTATAACCGATTATTGTAATTTTAGTATCCCCTTACTATACCTGCCAACATTATTTATTCTAGATTGGAGAAAACTGTAACAGCTCTTTTATAAGAAACTTAAGGTGCTTGAGTGTGTATCGCCTGATTTTCTGAGAGAAAACAGATGCTACATTGGGCTCTTGCTTAAACATCTGAATTTCAAAAATATTTTTGGTACATTTCGATTTGTGGGAAAATAGCTGCGTTTGTTTTTCATTTAGAACCAATCAAAAGATTTCCCTCCAAATTCCAAGAAGTGAATCTGGAGCCTATCTGGGTGAATAAATAGAGAACCAGGAATTGAATCTGAGGAATCAACGAACAGCTGCTGCATGAACCCAGATCAGCCCAGTCAAGAAAGAAAAACAATACAGAAGAAATTTGACAAGAATTTCAAAGGAACATCAAAGTTGCTCCTACATCAAGGCAAATTCTTCAATTGATGTGATTGTTCTGTTCTTTGCTGTTATCATGAACTTTGCTTCAAACATTGTACCAATTCTTTGAAAATTATTGAGAAAAGTATTTTTCCCTTTTCTTCATTTATTTTTATATTGTTTACCTTTTCTGGGGATCTTATGCAGCATAGTGATTTTTATTGTAAAAGAGACATATTTTATTAGCAGAGATTATTTGTACAGACATGTCATTGGTAATCATCTGGCACATAAAGCACTTAATTTGTGTAATTCTCTCATTTTTTATGTGTTAATAAATTTATCGTCTGCCTTTTTTAAGCTCGGCTCATGTCATGTCTTTGTTGTGTGCCCTTGGCTTTATAAATTAAACATTACCTCAAACATTTGTTTTAACTATTTTTTTTCATAGGGTTATTTTTCACCAAATAAAAAATCTTTTACTTTGAACACACCCTACTAAGCACTATACATCTAATAAGCAGACATATCACCCTTTTATTATTCTATATTGGAGACCACTATAACAGTTCTGTGAACACACCTTACTAAGCAGTACTTGTTACAGCTGACTAGTTTGCAGAATGTAGTTGGTATGTGAAAACAATTTGGAAGCTTGGTATGCAATAAAGTTTTGTGTTGACAGAGGTGTACATCAGAACTGTTCCTTACCCTCCCTCCAATCCAGACCTTGTTCCCTGGGACTTTATGGTTGTTGCCCATGCTGAAGGAGAACCTTAGGGGTAGTTGTTTTGAAGATGTTGAGAAACGAGGAAGCTGTGACAATAGTCTTGGACACCTTCATTTTGGATGTTTTCTATGGGAACTTCACAAAGAGGATGGAGAACTACAAGAAGGGCAGAGGATCCAACTTTGAAGGAGATTAGAGTTTTCTAACTCTTTGAAATTAATAAAGGTCTCACATGAAAATTTTCTAAAATTCTAGACTATATATATATATATATATATATAAAATATTAAAAAAATTAGGAATCACTTACACACCCACTACCATGGTTTCAACCATTAAGTTCCCGTCGGGTGGTAGATGCTAGTTAATTCTATTGGCTAATTTTATGTGCACACAACAGGAAGTGTGACAGAAGGGGGGGAGTGAGACAGGAATGGGGAATAAGGGTGGGATGGAGAGTAAAAAAAACAAAATAAAAACAATTTTGACCAACAATTGGTTATATATATACATGATTCACTAAAGATGACAGACAAGGTACTGCGATTAAGCTTTTTATTTAATTTTTCTTGTGTTAGAAAAAATGTTTTCTTTTCTGAACACAAATTGTGTAAAAACTGTCCAAATATTCTGTATTTCCAAGTGCTTTCAACCATACTTTTAGCCATTATCAAGGATGAGTTTTATTTTTACTTTTTAACTATGGCTTGTGTTATATATGTATCTAGAGTTATAGGAATGTTTTATTTTCCAAACATGGTCAGCACATTGTGGTCATGTTTATAGTTAATATTATTGAATGTTGGTTTTTTCTTTTCTTATTATTAGTGCTTCTATTATTTTAATCTTTTTTTACATGTGGATGAGGTTATTATGCTTGTATTTTCTACTAGTATGTTTCAGATAGAATCTGGTAGGATTTTGTGTGTGTCTAAATATGTCCTAATGGAGCTATGGTAGGTAGGTGTAGTATGAGCTGTTTGGATACGCATGTAGCAGTGTGACCGATGTAATTATTTATGAGTTTGGTTTGATCAGGAACACAGTTCCTTAAGAGGCATTTGAATTCATAAGTAAGAGTGGTACTTTGTAGTTTTGATTTTGCAGGTGTGTTATTATTTTTGATGATAAGATTAGCTGTTTTAAATTTTTTGTAATAGATAATTAATTTTCTTGTTCAGGTCAATTGGGGTAGTGTATTTCTTTATGATATTTCTAAGTGAAAATTCATCTTGCTTATAGTTGATATTTATTTGGCTTTTATAGAAGATGTTAATGTTATTGTTTTTGTTTGTATGTTCAATATCGTTATTAGTTACTTTGGAAAGAAATAATCTAATCTGGTGGTCGATGAGGTAGTTAGGAAAACCATTGTTAACTAGCATTTGTTTTACATTATTGAATTCTTTAAGGAAAAGTAGACAAGAGGATGAATTCTGGTGTGCTCTATTTAGGAAATTTTTTATTACTGCAATTTTGTATCTGAGTGGGCATTCACTTTTAAAGTTAAGGTGGTAAGAGTTTCTTCTAGTGGGTTTTTATATAATGAGGTGGTGAAAGTGTTGTTAATGTATTTTACAAGAATGTAAGAATGGAAGTTTGTTTTTGACTCAGTTCATAGATAAAGTTAAGGGCAGAATTTTTTCAAATGTGGTTTAGAGATTATCTATTTCTTGTTTGTTTTTCACTAAAATAATGAGATAAAGTTTTTATTTTCAAGAAATCTTGTTAGAAAAATATCCATACTCCAGCAGGATTTGAACCTGTGTCTCCTAGGGGAAACCATCATTAGATCTGATGTGCCTTAGACCAACTTGATGACGTAGGACCTCCTGATCAAACCAAACCAAAATAGTGCTTTTGAACACATACTACCCGATTCTCAAAATCCTGCCGGAAGACACATTATCTTTCTAACAAGATTTCTCAAAATATTCAGGCTGTTAGATGTAAATAAATAAATAAAAAAAAACAGAGCATCTACTCAAATATGAGTATCTATTTATAAAATAAGATTTAAACAAATAAATTAAAAATCTGTTGGATTTAATCCATTTCCTATAGTCATCCATAGACAGATTGTTTTGGTGTATCGGCATCAGTCAGAGATTCTACCCCTAAGCTATCGTCACACAGCAAAGAGAAAGGGAAATTTTAACATTTTTACTATGACGTCAGTAACTAGAAGAGTTTGATTTGAGTAGAAGAGTATTGATTAGCAGCAGCAGCCACTGAGAGCTCAATTGAATTATTTCAAGAGCATAAATAGTAATCCACAGACAGACTGTTTTGCTGTATCACAGCTCATCAATGTGGCTAGAAATCCAATTGCTTCAAGCCGGGATCAAAACCTGATCGATTTGGCATCAGTTAGAGATTCTACCACCATATATATATATATATATATATATATATGAAATGGATTAAATCCAACAAATATTTTAATATATTTTCTGCTTATACATTTTTTTTATGGATACTCTTATTTAAGTAAATATTCTGTTTTTTAATTAAACAGGATTAATTATTACATTTACTGGCCTGAATATTCAAGAATTTTTGTAGAAAATATGTGCCCTAGGACAGGAATCAAACCTGTATCCTATACAGAACTCTCATTAAGCTTGATGTGCTATGACCATTCAGCGACAGAGAACTTCCAGTTTAGCAATTTCTCAAACATTCAGGATGGAAAATGTAATTAATACTGTTTAATTAAAAAAAACAGAGCATTTACTCAAATAAGTGTATCCATAATAAAACTTATAAACAGAAAAGATATTAAAATATTTGTCGGATTTAATCCATTGCATATAATATGTTGTCATTGTTTACGTTAGGTTACAATTTCAGGACAGATATGATAGATCAAGAAAAATCAGTGTAGGTGTGTGTTTAAAAGCAGTAATTCAAACTTAGCTTAACCGGAAGTTCTCTGTGTCCCAATGGTTACAGCACCTCAGGCTAAATGATGGTTCTGTATAGGGTACAGGCTTGATTCCTATCTGTACAAAATTTCTTGAACATTCAGGCTGATAAATGTAACTAATACTGTTTAGCATATATATATACATGCTGACAGAAACACACAAAAATGGAAACAGATCCAAGAACACATAGGGGTCAGTAAAACATTAAAAGATAAAATGCCGATAAGTAATTCATCATTTCTCTTGGACCAACCTTAATTGTTTTATAACCCTTCGCGCAGAACTTTTCTTTGCCAATTCAAGAAAGACATTCAGATTACTAATACAAAAACAGAGAATGTCTCATATCGAGAATATTTAACATTGAAAAACATAAGGAAAAAATTAATTATTTTTAATAATATGTGGAAATCTCCGCTTTTACCTGAAGACAGTCACGAGACCAGAAACATGTGTAGTAAAATTATGGAAAATAAAGCATAATATTTTTTTCTAAAAAAATACACATTACAACCAAAAACGTTTGCGGCACCTCTCTTCTCTTCTTTTTAATATACATACTTTTCTCTCGTTGGAACCACTACAACATCTTTCTTTTATATATATATATATATATATATATATACTTAGTGGAGATTTGTATTTTAGTAGACATTCCGTTTATTTATTAAACAGTAAATTTATTATTTTCATCTCCTGGCCTGAATATTCAAGAAATCCTATTAAAGAAAAACGTGTGCTCTCCTGCAGGATTTTAACCTGCATTCCTTAAGGGAAACCATTGTTAGATCTGACGTGCTTTGACCTCTCGGCTACAGAGTGTGTCAATGACCAACCAAATTAAATAGTGCCTTTAAACAGATTTTTCTCTGACTCTTGAAATAGACACATCTGCTCAGTTTTGTATGCTAATGAAAGGGATGGATTTTTTTATTTATTAATCCAACAGATTTTTATTACTTAAATTATTTTTAGTCGATACGTGTATTTGAGTATATCCAACTTACATTTTATTCTCCTTTTAACAATTTGAGTTGCTTGTTTGGCCGATCTTTCTACAAACCAGTTGTCTCCAAGAAGGACCATGATTTCATTCGTGTGCACCAATTGTCCTGGCATGAAGGCAAACGGACCAAAAGGAACCTTAAATGTCGAACAGCAAAATGGAAATTATTAGACACAGAAATTTTATTAAATTTAAAATATTTTCTCACCTACAACTGACATGTTCTTTAATATTTAATCTTTAAATCAGAAAATAAAAAACTGATAAAAAGTAAAGTTTAAAATTTTTTTCTTGAAACATGAAATTGAATATTTAATATCTGTCCATATCTCTGAGATGAGGTATTATGATTACTTGCATTATTTACATTATTCGGACTGTTATCCTCATCTTCATTGCCATATTCATAATGTTTCGGCCAACCAGGCATAGAAATGAATATAATATGGGAACCAGTAATAAGGAGTGCTAGAGAAAAGCTATGAATAACATCAAAAATTGCAATATAAGCACTGGTAAAAAATGTAATAATAATAGAAAAAAATTGTAATATGAGCACTGGTAAAAAATGGTTGCTGAGACATTAGGTTTATAAATCTCAAAAATTCATACACAGTGGCTCAGTGGATAAAGACATTGGTTAGATCCAGTAACTAGACCCAAAGAGTTGTGAGTTCAATACCAGGTCACAGCAGTGGTGAACCAAAACTTGGAGGGTTGAGTTAAAGGGAAATAACTGAGACATCCGGAAGAGGCATGACACGTGGAACTAGAACAATCTACCTCTGTTTGAAATTCCAATCATCTGAAGAAGGCTGAAGTGTTGTGAATACCTCAATGAAGATGAGGATAACAATCTGAATAATGTAAATAATGCAAGTGAATATTTAATATGACAATTGCTTGGCAAATTTTTATTGCAATTTTTTTTTAGGCAAAGAAAGTTAGTTCTAGGCAATTTTTCTCACCAGAATCTATTTTAAATAATTATGAGTCTACCATTCGTCCATGCAATGCTAGGCAGAGTCTGAGCTATAGCCCATACTAGAGGGGCCCCTAAATGACCTCTAGTCTTGGGTCCCTACTAAAACTTTAAAAAATGAAGATATAAGAACAGAGGAGACTTGTTTATTTCCAAATTTAATGGCCCTCATTTGGACTAATTTGAAGCAATTTAGGGTATTTGAAGTGGAAGTTGTAAGGATCTAAACTTGAGATAAAAAATATCATGAAGTTGCTAATGATATAAACTGGATTATTATCATTAAAAATTTTAATTCAAGTGTTTCATGTTTTACACCAAAAAATCATCATCTAAAAATACATTTTGTTTTTTTTAGTGGGTGGCAACATAAGTAATGAAGGGACCCCAAATTCTATTAGCCCAGGTGACTTTTAAGGCCTAAATCACGCCCTGCACTATGCATTGAATATGGCTGTCACATCCTCTGTCATATATCTAGACATTCTTGACAAAATCCAAAGAAGAATCTGTAATCAGACCTAACCTGACATCTTGGCTTCAGTCACTTTCCCGCTGACATAGCTGGGCTTCCCTGTGCCTTTTCTAGAAACACTTTCATGGTAATTGTTCTGATGAGCTTTCCTCTTTAGTACTTCAACTTTACAAATTTAAGTGCAGTACTAGATTGGCAACAAGGTCTCATCATTTTACAGCTGAAATGGCTAGATGCAACCATAAGTTCTATGCTAACAGTTTCTTCTCTTGCAATTCACACTTGATTTTTTTTGGCCTCTTGCTTTCCACTCAACACTGAGCTTCAAAAATTTAAATTTATGTCAATCATTATTTTCTTAATTTCTGTTCATTGATTGTTCTCCTCTTCAATAATGTTTTCTTTTTCTCATATTCTTTCATATTTGCATGTTAGTGGCTTTATCGCCTTGCTTGGAGTGTAAGGATTAAAAAAAATTGTTTTACAAAGTATATAGCTTTAAATAATTATAAAGCAACATTCCATAATAATGAAATGTTAAAAATAGTTTTTTGAGGAGAAAGAGTTTAAAGGATTTATATATTTTGAAATTATGATGTGCTAAAAATGCTTTTATATATTATGTTTGATTAAGCAAAAAGTTTTTACATAATTTCATCTTCAGAGCTTCATATTAACAACTTTTAAAATACAATTCGAATTATCAAAGCTAAAAGAAAATATACATCAACTTTTTTCATTCCAGAGAGAAAAATAAAATAGAAAACAATAAAATGTAATGCAGTATAAATTTTAATCCACTGATTTAAAGCCATAACTAAAATGGCAGCACCCATGAGAAATAACAAACATACATTAAAGATTTTAATATATAAAAAAAAAACAGATTTTGTCTTGTTCTGATCTGAAGATGCCTACCTAAAACCAAAACTGATGATGGAACCAACAGACAACTTGCCAAAAACCTAACATCCTTGTCTTGAACAAAAATGACACTACTGAAAAAAGAAAAAGAAAAAAGGCCTAAGAGCAAACCTACTTACTCAGTAAAATAAAGTGTTCAATGTCTAAATTGCCTAGACAGAGATAAAAACATTTAACAATGTTAATTACTATGAAAGGATGGCCCTAGTCATAACTTGAGTTTCATGCTTAGATGATCTTCAGTCATCTTGAACGGTATATATATATATATATATATATATATACACTAGGGGTAGGATCTATGACTGATGCCAAATTGGTCGGGTTTCAATCCCGGCTTGAAGCAATCAGATGTCTAGCCACACTGAAGAGCTGTGATATAGCGAAACAATCTGTCTGTGGATTACAATATATATGCTCTCAGGAAATCCATTTGAGCTCTCTTGAGAAAAGGGCAATTTTAAAAATGGTGGCTCCTACTGCTACTAATACATTGCTCTTCAACTGAATTGAGCTCTCCGGGCCACTGGCATATTTTGTATTGAAAATATTAAAATTTCCCTTTCTCTCTGTCATGCAACAATAGCCTGAGGGTAGGATCTCTGACTGATGCCAAATCAGTTGGGTTTCGATCCCGGTTTGAAGCAATTGAACATCTAGCCGCAATGAAGAGTTGTGATACAGCAAAACAGTCTGTGGATGACAATATATTAATTAATTAATCATTTCATCCCAAGCGAGGCAATAAAACCACTGAGATACTAGGGATTACTGCATGTTAGAGAATATGAGATAAAAAATTACTATTAAAGAGAGAGGACAATAAAAGAACAATTAAGAAGACAAAAGATAATGATTGACACTGCATTTAATTTTTTAAAGATCAAAGGCAATAAAGCCACTAAACACAAGGGGTTAGTGAGTATTAGAGAATATGAAAAAAAACTATTATTAAGGAGAGAGGACAATAAAAGAACAAGAATTAAGAAGACAGAAGATAACAATTGACATTGCATTTAAATATTTGAAGATCAAAGGCAATAAAGCCACTAGGATGCAAGGTGTTACTGAGTGTTAGAGAATATGAGAAAAACTACTATTAAGGAGAGAGGACAATAAAAGAACAAGAATTAAGAAGACAGAAGATAACGATTGACAATGCATTTAAATATTTGAAGATCAAAGTTGACTGGGAGAAACCAGAAGAGAGTTCCACAAGCAAGAAGTGCAATAGAATTTAGAACTTACATGTGGTCATATCAACCATAAAATAATGAAAGTTATATATATATATATATATATATATATATATATATATATATATATATGGATAAAATCCATGGTAAGTAATCTTAGTAATATAAATTATTAAAATGGATCTGTAGAAGAGAGCTCAATGTATTTGTTACAGAGCATATATAAATTACATGTGGAAAAATTCAATATCCCATATTATATATGGGTTCTGGGTGAAATCGCCATATACCATATGGGGTATTGAATTTTATCTACATGTAATTATATGTATATATATATATATATATATCTCCAAGTATAAGATTGGTGTAGACAGAATAAAATTCCAATAACCAAAACCACTATTCTTAAAAGAGTAATCAATATACAGTAGAGCAAATATTATTTATTCAAAAATTATAACATAAACATGTTATAACATCACTACAAAAATGGCCATTTTTTTCAATACTTTTGATGTCTTCTCAAGTGATGGTGTTGAGTTCAAAACCATCACTTGAGAAGACACCAGAATGTTGAAACAAAATGGCTATTTTTGTAGGTTGATTTTTCTTTTGTGTGTGTGCATATGTGAGTGAGTATGTGTGTGTGTGTGTGTGTGTGTGTGTGTACATGTGTATGTGAGAAAGTGAGTGAGTATGCATGTATGTGCATATGTCATGGTTATTTCTCCTTTTCATTATTTTCTCCCCTCTATTCTTTTTCCTTCTCTCTTACACACACACACACACCCAAGTAGGTCATAGACAGATAAAGAGATATTACCATTACTTCATGGGTTATTTTGTTGGGTAGAGTCAACAGACGATCTGAAAGATTCTTATAGTCAGTGTTCAATTTTTTCCTGAAATAAACAAATAAAGTAACAGTAAGATATAGATCAAAATACCATTATATTTAATATTTTATAACATTCTATTTAATAAGCAAATCTAAGTAAAGATATAATAAATCAGTCCAAGCAAAATTTAAATTTTTCTTCATATCAACTTTATTAAAAATATAAAATGAACAAATCTTCAGAAATCTAAACTTAACCTCTTCACAGACATTTTATAATTTCTGTATAAATAAGAATTAATTCAGAAGCTTATTTTGCTTTTTCTTCCAATGTAGAATCAGCCAAATTTGCTGATTGTTGTTATTGACCAGCAAAATCATTCGGCAAAGAACAGATTTACATGGAAATTTGCTTATCATTTTCCCAGATGAGGTTGTGATTGCTTTACAGAAGGCAACTTGATAAAAAGAAAAAACAGCAGAAAACAAATCAGTCCCATAACTGTCAACCATTATTATTAATTTTTGACTAGGATTTACTTTCATCTTTATTTTTTATTAGATGAAGCATTGTCAGCCATTATTATTAATTTTTGACTAGTATTTACTTTCATCTTCATTTTTTATTAGATGAAGCATTGTCAACCATTATTATTAATTTTTGATTAGTATTTACTTTCATCTTCATTTTTTATTAGATGAAGCATTGTCAACCATTATTATTAATTTTTGACTAGTATTTACTTTCATCTTCATTTTTTATTACATGAAGCATTGTCAGCCATTATTAGTAATCTTTAAAAATGTATGTCAGAATATCATGTCAAAATGATGCAGATGAATAAAAAATATTAGTTACCAAACTGCCTTTAAATATAACAATTATTCTAAAATTTAATTTAAATATTTCTCAGCTTATAAACTAGTTTAAACTTAATTAACTTATTTCATTGAGTCTATATTTTGTTTTTAACAGCAAATGTAAGGATCTCACAAAAATATTTTACATTTTTATAGAATAGAAGTTAGGGTATGTTTTACTCCTGTCCTATATTTGTTGTTATATCCTTTGTTATTATGTTATGGTGTTGTAAGTTATTACATTAAGTTATTATGTTATGGTGTTGTAAGTTATTACATTAAGTTATTATGCGATACTGGGATCGCCAGAGGTTGATTAAATAAAAAGAGAAAGAAAGAAAGAAAGAAAGAAAGAAGGAAGAGGAGAGAGTCTATCTACTGGATGATAATTGTTGAAATTGCAGGAAGATGGATTGAAAATTTGAGAAGAAAATTAAAAAAGAAATGCTTTGAAAAATCATGTTTTGAGATAATTCCAAGGAGAATCAAGTTTAACTCAACGGAATTTGGTAAGATTGAGCAAACCCAAGCCTACACATCCTTCCCCACTTCCCGCTGATAAGAAAGAAAGCATTAAGGTATCGATGAAGATGTCAGATAAAATAAAAACATACGTTGGCGATAAAGAAACTAGGGCAGTCACAGAAAAAACATTCCTCTGAACAAAGAAAAACAAACATCTGTTTTGAATAAGCCACCCAGAAGAAAAGTACCCCTACAGAGTTTGGAACCAACTGGACACAGTTGTCATTATAATTTCAGTGACATTCTTCCAGAGAATATTTTATATCCAAACATTAATTTGGATTCCTTTGGATACAAGAGGTAAGAAAAAATTAATTACTGTTTTGAAGTGCTCATGGACAAGAAAGCTGGGTGGTGTATTTGATTGTAAAAAATGCATAAGACAGAGAAAAGATAAACTTTCATTTTAAGGAGAGTGGAAACAGATTTTTCTTTCTTTTTTCAATTCTTGAGTGGTCTGGTCAATCAAGAGATTCCCAGCATGGGGTAAGCTGATAGATAAGGACTAATGACTGAAAATCCCTTTTGACTTCGCTGCACCATCTGGAAGTTGGAGTTTCTCACTCCAGCCCAGGAAGCAGACTGAGGTTGGCTGCAGAGAAAGTGGGAGAAGGAAGAGAAGAAAGAAGATGTAGAAAAAAAAGAGAAGGAAGAGAGAGAGAGATTAGCATTGCCTATATGGAGCAATGGTGCGAGATGAGACATAAAGAAAATTGGAGTTAAGGAGTAGTCTGATCCCTCTAACCACTCTCAAAAGTGGGCTGGACAACCCCAAATTTGGAAAACTACTTGAGTAAATGTATTATTATATATAGAAATTTAGAAAAGGTTGATACTTAAGGTAGAAGACACCTGAACCAGGACCCTAGTCACCTCCACCTCTGCTGGATGCAGCTTATATGAAGCAGGAGATTTTGGACTCAGAAGATTAGAAGAACAAGATAAAAAAAAACAGAGAAGAGAGACAAAAAGAAACACACTGGAATCTGCATCATTTGTTGAGACCACCTGATCAAGACCTTGTGCCAGACATGAAGACCAGAACTTAGAAATTTAAGTTACTACTAAAACAAGCTGCAGACTCCAAAGGGGATCCCAGTGTCATTTGATTATAAGAAAAAGTAGGAAGGGTTCAAACCGCTGTATACAACAAATCATAGTCTGTCTATATTTCTGAGATGAGGTATTATGTACAGTATTTACATTAGTCGGACTATTGTCCTCATCTTTGTCGCCATATTTGTCACAACGTTTCGGCCGTTGTACGCTCCTGGCCTTCTTCAAGTGGTTGGAATGTCGAACTGAACCCTTTATTTTACTCACTGGGGTAGACTGTTCTAGTTCCACGTGCCATATTTGATGGATATCAGTTATCAGTTATCTCCTGTTAATTTCCCTCTGAAAGTTCTCCACTGCCTTAACCGGGTATTGAACTCACACTCTTTGGGTCCTGTCAATGGATCTAACCAACGCCTTTATCCACTGTTCCATGTGTCCTCAAGGACCCAGTTATAAAAAAGGAATCATAACTGGAAAAACTGAATGAAAAAAATGTTAACAACAAATACTTTTTCACACCCAACTCAGTTCTGCAGAATCAGAATCAACATTGAGTTTAAGCGAATGAGCCAATTGGAGTAAAGTGCCATGCAGATTTAAATTTTTCCCACTTGTGACGAATGCAGCTATTGATATTTTTTTACATGCTAGCATGCTAGTTAACATTCGTGTCAGTCAGCTATAGGCTCTCACTCTGGCCAGTAGAAAATGGCCGCAAACTACATGAAAACTGCCGTAGAAGCATGAAAAAAATCGATTATTTCCACTATCGATGGGAGTTCGCAAATGCAAAGTCGGTCTAGGCCTGTCTGCTAACTTGGAGCATGTGCATATAAATTTTGGTACAAATCCATCAAAAATTGCTGCTGTGCATTAGTTACACACACACACACACACATCCTGCCTTTTATAGATAAAGATATGCAACATGTAACAATCTTTCAGGGATAAGAGGTAATATAAAGTTACATTTTAAGACCCACTGCTGTTGTTTTATTGTTTTCAGTAATGTCTTTTTTCTCTTTACCAAACAAGTTTATTTTTCAAAAAAAAAAAAAAAAAATGTATCTACTGAAGCAGGCTCTGCATTATAAGAATTTTCTTGGGACTCTTTTTTAATAATTGCTTCAATTTTTGATAATATTCATTGCAGCTTTATTGTGGGTTAAAATATTTCTAATGTCTCATGATGAAATGGTAAGTATATTTTATTACAGTGTAGCCTTTTACAAATAATGGATGTAACAGATATGACTTCAAGATATGTTTTCATTATTTTGTCTTGCTGAAATGCTTTCGAGGATAAAAAGAAAAACCTTGTCAGCTTCAGGCCCATACTTTATCCCAGCAAATAAGTTTAAAAAAGAAAAGCAAACTTAAACTGGATACCATTTATCAATTTCATCATTTGTAATTTGAACAGCTCTGTCCTGTTCCTCTCGTAACCTTTGCACTTGTGAAGCTTTCCTCATTTTTTAATTTTCCTCGTACTTCAATGAACTGAAAAAGATAAAAAGAAAAATTTAGGCCAATAGTATTAAATACATTCCAAAGATTTTTTCTAGACAATTTTTCATTCCAGAATCTACCTTACATATTTATAAGTATACCATTCATCCTTGCTTTGAATATTGCTGCCACTTCTGATCTGGTGCTCCTGCTATACATTTAGAGATTCTTGGTAAAATCCAAAGAAGAATCTGCAATATTATTAATCCTGACCTGACATCTCAACTTCAGTCCTTTTCACACTGCTTTTTCTATAAATAATTTCATGGTAATTGTTCTGATGAACTTTCCATTAACATTAAGTAGAAAGATTAAGTAGAATCAATTGCTAAGAAACTTGGTTTCCCAAGTCATGCTAGACAATTTTTCTCACCGGAATCTATCTTAGATAGTCAACCATTCATCCCCTTTTGAATATTGCTGCCACACTATATATTTACAGATTCTTGATAAAATCCAAAGAATCTGCAATGTTATTGGTCCTAACATGGTAACTCAGCTTCAGTCCTTTTCCCACCGCTGTAACACAGTTTCCCTGTGTTTTTCTATAAATACATTCACGGTAATTTTTCTGATGAACTTACCACTAAAAACAATGTATAATATAAGTTATATATATTTTTTAAAAAGTGGCTGCTGCTTGTTGCTATTAATGAATTGCTCTTCAACTATGAATTGAGCTCTTCTAGCTACTGGCATATTTCATATAGAAAATGTTAAAATTTCCCTTTCTGTCTGCCATGTGCTGACTGCTTAGGGGTAAGATCTCTGACTGATGCCAAATCAGTTGAGTTTTGAACCCAGCTTGAAGCAATCGGACATCTAGCCATACTGAAGAGTTGTGATACAGCAAAACAGTCTGTCTGTGTGTGTGTATATATATATATATATATATATATATATATATATATATATATATATATATACACAACAGTAAGTCTGATTGGTTTGATAAAGACAAATTGGCAGCTGATCTCAAAAATGACCTAAAATCTGTTGTTAACTGGGGCAAGAATTGGCTTCTTAATTTTAACACCTCAAAAACGAAACTGTTCTCTTTTAATCATCAGTATGGCTGATGCTAACCTCCAGGAGAGTGACTCATTATGCCTTCTTGGACTAACATTTTCAGCTGACATGAAGTATATTGAGTCAAATGCTAAGTCTGCAGCTAAGAAAGTTGGTTCACTATGTTGAGCTAGACAATTTTTCTTGCCAGAATCTATCTTACATATTTATTATTCTACCATTTGTCCTTCCTTTGACAAACTTTCTGCTATGATACCTAGACTTTATGAATTTAAGAACACAACTAGATTAGCAACAAGATCTCATCAGTTACATTGGCTAGGTATAACTGTAAGTTCTATGCTAACAGTTTCTTTTCTCACATTTCTCACTTGTAGAACTCTCTTCTAGCTTCCCAATCAACTTTGATCTTTAAAAATTTAAATGCAATGTCAATCATAATAGTCTGTCTTCTTAATTCTTGTTTTTTCATTGTTGGAATGAAATGCTAAAAAAAAAATGAGGAATGGAAAACTATATTTCACTTCAAACTTCAAATCACTTAATCCAATGTTAACAGAAATCTGTCTATATCTCTGAAATAAGTTATTATAATTATTTACATGATTCAAACTGTTATCCTCATCTTCATTGCTATATTCACATCATTTCAGCCGTTATATGCTCCGGTCTTCTTCAGGTGATTAGAATCTCCAACTAAAACCAAAGGCCCAAAGAGTTGTGAGTTCAGTACCAAGCTACAGAAGTGGTGTACCAAAACACTTGGGGAGTTGAGTTAAAGGGAAATAACTGAGACATCCAGAAGAGGCATGGCACGTGGAAATAGAACAATCTACCCCAGTAAATAAAGGGTTCAGTTCAAAATTCCAATCACCTGAAGAAGGCTGGAGTGTATGACGGCCAAAACGTTGTGAATATGGCAATGAAGATGAGGATAACAGTCTGAATAATGTAAAACAGAAATGTTGATAATAAGTCAATCCTGTGGAAGACTGTAAGGCACCAAAAAGAGTTCTTGAGAGCAATGAATAAATTCTGTATGGAGAACGATATTGTTGAGAAAAAATGGAAACAAAAATGACACTTAGACTTAGAATCAGAAAGAAGCGATTGAAATTTCTAGGGCATATAATGAGGAAAGAGGGCTTGGAAAATTTAACACAGTGAGAAAAGCAGAAAATAACCTACTTAACAAGCTTGTGTAAATGGATGACAAAATAGGGATTATTAGGAGAGATAGCAAAAAGACGAACACTCTTAAGAGCTACAAAGGTAGTGGAAAGTCATGAGCGCCCACGTCCTGAAGGGACACGACAGAAGATTCAGAACGATAAAATAAAAACGATGAATAAACTAAATAAAACATTCTACTACTAGAGTCGAAATTACCTGAAGATAATGAAAGAAAACTAAAAATTTAAGAGTTGTAAATCTTGTTAAATAAGGTTAATCGAAGACGAATATAAAAAAAATGATATTTTATTTAATAATTTAATGAGTCTATTAGTCATCCAAAATAAAACGATCAAATTCAAAGAGATGAAATATCGACTTCTGATTGTGTTGTTTTGTTTCACATGAAAATACACTTTCTTCACGTGATACGAGATTTCTTAAATAAACTTTGAAAGGGAAAAATAGTATGGTAAAGAAAATTTCTCAACTATTTTACTTTGTGGTTTCCGACTTTTTTTTAACGAAATAATTTTTAGAAACTAAGTTTTTATTGAATAAAAGAACGGGGAAATTATCTTCACCGAATAAGATTAAAAAAAAAAAAAAAAAACTTTCTTCTCGAGGCTCTTTTTGTAAAAATTTAAAAACTAATGTTTATGTTTATTGTTTAACTTTGTTCTTTCAGACAAACTTTGACAACCTCGGATTGTAAATCTGTCTATTTTCAAACTAAAAAAAAAAAGTAATAAATTAAAAATTATACAATCCCGAAAAATTCGACACTAAAGAGCCAAACAAACTATTTTACAATGAATTAGTTTTATACTATCGAAAAGTATCAAAATAAAGCTATACACTAACTTATAGCCAGGCATATTTTTCATATAATGATAAATAAAATGAATTCGCAATTTATACTTTCAGTAAAAAAAGTAAAAAGTGTGTTGCGAATTCATTTTATTGAGGGGTTTACATTAAGTGACAATTGAAATACATATATGATTTTTTTTATAATTACCAAAATTACATAATAGTAAATGCAGTATAAATAATATATTGCAAAATTGTCCAGACAATTTAAAAATAAGTAGCTACCTTTCTTTGAATTTCCAGGATATGTGACAAAAAAACAAATATCTTTCGAATTCTTCTCGCACATGTGAGAATTAGTAAATTAGAGTTATTTCCCTTATTTGACACCCATTCATTAAGTTCCAGCTTTTCATGAAAGTTATTGTTATATTTCAAATAATAAAACTATTGATTATTAGTAAATTCTGCAATTACGTTCAAGTGGACAATTAATAATAGTTAAACCTTATTAAAATCTGATTTAAATAATGTTATTTGAATAGCTTATTCGATCTGGTCACTTTACTTTTATAGAGACATTTTCATAAAGGTGACCGTTTACGGTTTAATTTTTTTAGAAAATGGCGACCTCTTTAAAATTATCTGTTTGTTGGCGATTTGCTCTACCTTGTCTCATCGGGGATAATTTTACACGAACGTAAGTTTGTTTTGGCTATCATTAGATATACTATTTTTAGTTATAGGGAATAATCCACACGAAAAAGACAAGTTTAGTTTGTTTTCTCTAACAAACGTGATGACCTCTACATCGTCAATAATAGCTTGTCAATTTATTTGCTATAAGTGATTCAACAAAAGTTCGGCAGAATATCCATCAAATACAGCATCATAAGATCACAAAAGTTTATCCTTCCCACATCTTATTTTAAAAATCTTGTAATTTTTTGATCTGACACAAGTTCAAATGTCAGGTCAAGGTTGTTTTGGTTGGAGTACGTAATTTTATCTTAGGAAGGAGTTTTTTTTTTTAAAGTTGTACGACTTAGTTTTGTGTTTTCACTTATTTATTCTTAATCTTAAATTAATTATTAAAATCCACAAAAAAAATGTTATTTTTAAAGAATCTTGAAATTCCCTTGGAAGGACACCGAAAAATTAAAACAATGAAAACAGCAGCACCCGGAAAAAAAGTTCTTGAAGAAAAAATCGTAAAAAGTCAAGTTTTAATTCGGAGTCATTGAAAATAATAAAAAATTAGTAAGTAAATTAGGAATATTTTATGTTGACGATATCAGTTTTTTTTAATTTAATTTAGTAATTAATTTCGGTAAATTTTAATTAAATTAATTAAAAACATTTTATTTCGTTACTAAAAATTAAATCTGAATTTTATTAAGAATTTAATGAAAACAGTTGTATCGTCAAGCAAGATCTTTGTTATTAATTATTATTAAGATTATTAAGAATTAAGAAGAGGACTTAAGGAAGGATCAAAACAAAATAGTATTTGAATTAATATTATTTTGATTAAAAATTTTGTTTTTCTTGCGTCAGCGGTTGTACTCTAACTTTTAGTTTTAGCAAATTTTAGCTTCTTTTTTGTGGTGGCAGACACATTAATTTGGGAATTCTTGCAAAAATCAAATAATTGTCGAATTTTAATGAAATCTTGATAATTTTATGTTTCATCCGCTTACTTAATTTTATGAAAACTTGAGAAATTCAACATAATTTTTTACTTTTTAGTTACTATATTAGTTAAAAAAGCAGAATTTTCAAATCATCGATTACCGAAAATCTGCTCGGAATCGAAAATTAAAAAATAATTTCGAAACAATAACTAATAATAGTTAGTTTATAAAGAAACTATTAGTTATTTTATTGCCAGTTTGAAATTTAAAATGTTTAGGATGTAAACTTATGTCTCCTCCAGATGCTTTTTCTTTAATAAAGAAATTTTGGCAATATTTAATTTAACCTTCGCGAACGAAAAACAAAAAAACAACCCCGCTGTGCCAAAAATGCGGTCATTCTCTCAGCACCGATGTTGTTGTTATTATTATTATTATTATGATGATGATGATGATCAACAACAACTCCTCCTCGCCCACTCGGTAATATTTATCATTTTCAAAAAAACGATTAGAATTTTAATAAAAAACGATTAGAATTTTAATAAAAAAAACTCAAACGTATGAAAAAATGGATTTATTTTCTTCTTGAGAATTGACAACAAATAAGCACTAATTTGCTTTCATAGTTACTCATAAAATTGTAATTGGTTTATTTTGATAATTTTGTTATTTTTGAATAAAAAGATTTCTTTTAAACACAATCAGCTAAGTGACAAATTTTGTCACTTAGCTGATTGATGTGTTACAGGATACTAGTATGTTTGAGTAGAAATAAGTCACCATTATGTTGCAGGTATCACTACTTTTGATATGAGTGTGTGTATGTTGTATATTAAATATTTATGGGCTCCTAGAACATTTATCCCACAAACAGTATTGGTGGACTCAATGGTGAGCCTGGGTAAAAATAAGAAACACAAAGCAATAAATAAAAAACAAATGACAATTTATGTTATTAAGAAAAGGAATTTCATGTATGTGATAGACACATGTGTGCGAGAGTTTGTCGGAGTTAACTCCTCCTTCAGTTCATAACCCTTTCACCAGGGGTCTCTCTTCCCTGGTTATAAATAGTCGCTGACCCTTCGCCTCTTCCTCTTTTTCCCTCAGGCCTGTGCGCCGACACCTGGAGGTAAATCTCTCTTTTTCCTCAGGCTTTCAGCTTACAACTTCGAAATGTAGGCGCTAACAAGGGATAGCGTTTCCCAAAAATGCTGGGAACACGCTAAGCACAATACACACACACAAACGCACATATATAATATTCACACACACACCTTGTCCTTTGTAACTGTTTCCATGTAACTTGTTATTAATATATATTTGTATACATATATTATCGGTCTTGTGTTTTGTTTTTTTTGCATTCTTTGGACTTAATTAAAAGCCCAACTTTCTTGTGTAGTTGGATCAGCTAGCAGGAAAATCTGAACCCACATGTGTTCTTCTTCGTCTACCCAACAACCTTACAGCCACGGTCCACTACAAGTTCAAAAGTCAATAGATGATCAATGAAGCAAACATACCTAATTGGCAGTATTCTTTATCAATGTTAACTACATCTTGAAGTAACAGATAAAAAGAGTAAGAGAGAGAATATAATTGCCTTCTTTTAGGCTTAAAGAGCGCCTCCTAACAGGCATTTTGGCAAAGCCAAGTGGGGAAAACCCACAGATGTTATATTCAGTACCTCGACTCTGTAGTTTCATAGATGAACCCTTTTTTGTAATCATTCTCTCCACTCGTCAGGAGATATATTACATTGTACTTGCTTCCCATATTTTTTCTAATCTTGTAGGAAAACATTGCTGAGGTATGCAGTAATGGCAGTGACAAAGGAATAAATATCTTTGCAGGCATGAAAGTTAAAAATATGACAAATCTTTATCTGTGAATTGCTATGACTTCTTGTGAAAGATAGGGGACTGGTTTCCCATTGCCTTCTCCATGGTTTAGAATTTAGAGTTGTCCTTCTCACAGATTACTTTTCTTTATTATGAATTGCCATGATTTCTTGGGAAATGTACCAGAATAGTTTCCTGTCACCATCTCCAATTTAAAACATGTTTTTATTAAAGATTCTTGGCACTGCTTAAATCAACTGGTTTGCTTGTGTTAAAAAATTAAAAATGTGAAGAATATTTTTTACAAGTGGACCAGTGAATTAAATAGCGCCATATTTACCAAGTACTAGTGTTTATGAAAATAAGTAATGTTCTAAATTGGAGAACACTATGGGAATTTGGGAACTACATTACTATTATCCTAAGAAAAAATCATCCATGCATTGAATATTGCTGCCACATCTGGTCTGGTGCTCTTGCTATGTAAGTAGAAGTTCATGATAAATCTAGAAGATCTGCAATGTTATTGGTCTTGACCTGGCATCTTGACTTCAGTCACTTTCCCACTGCCATAACATAGCTTCTCTGTGCTTTTTCTATAAATACTTCCATAGTAATTGTTCTGCTCAACTTTCCTCCATGGTACCTAGACTTTATGAATTTAAGTGCAACTTCAGATTGTTGGCAAGATCTCATCATTTTACAGTCAAAATGATTAGATGCAACCGTAAGTTCTATGCTAACAGTTTCTTCTATCACACTTCTTGCTTGTGGAACTCTCTTTGAGCTTCTTGCTTCCCAGTCAGCTATGATCTTCGAAAATTTAAATGCAATGTCAGTCGTTATCTTCTGTCATTTTAATTCTTGTTCTTTTATTGTCTTCTTAATAATGTTTTTTCCCCTCATATTCTTTCTTAGTAACCATTTGTGTCTTAGTTGCTTTATTGCCTTGCTTGGAGTGAAATGATTAACATTAAAAAGTAGAGAAAATGGAAGAGAGAGTTGAAATTTTTATGGCACATAATGAGGAAAGAGGACTTGAAAAATTTGATACTCACAGGATAGATTGAAGGGAAAAGAGACAGAGGAAAACAACACACAGCTAACCTAGGCAGGTTGAGTAAATGGATAGCAGAACACAGTTTATGAAAGATAACAAAAATACAAAATTTATTAAGAGCTACTAAGGACAAGAAGTTTTGGAGAGCCATGATCACCAATGTTTTTCTTTCTCATATCTGACCTTTAATATCACAGGCTAAATAAATGATTTTTATGTCCCTTCATTCCATATGCGATCGTGGCTCTCCAGAAGCTAAGCGAAGTATTAAGGAATAGAAAAAAATTTGTTAGAAATAAAGAAAAGAGTACTGAATTGTTATGAAATATCAGTTCTCCTGTATGGCAGTGAATGCTGGACAATCTCCTCACAGATGAAGTGGCGAATGGAGGCAACAAAAATGTGGTTCTACAGAAGGATGCTGAGAATACCATGGATGGTACATATGAGCAACAACGAATTTTAAGAGAAAATGGAAATAAAACAGACGTTTACTTTTAACTTATCAGGAAGAAACAGTTGAAATTTCTAGGGTGCATAATAAGAAAAGAGGGCTTGGAAAATTTGATACTCACAGGACAGATTGAAGGCAAGAGGAACAGATGAAAACAATGTATAATCTACCTAACAAGATTTAGAAAAGTTAAAAAGACAAAATTTATTAAGATCTACAAGTGACAGGAAATAGTGGAGAGCCATGATTGCCGATGTCCTGAAGGGATGCAACACATAAAAGAAGAATGGAAATTCATAGAGAAAGAGAATCTAGAGTAGCACTATTTAAATTGCTTGATCCATTCATAAAAAAAGGGAAATTTGGGGGAGGTAAGAGGGAAGGACCATTTTTGTAGATAAGTATTCATTAGATTTTAGTACTTCTTTGTCAGACATTTAAAAGCTATTCTCTGGTGGTACTAAAACAGGAAGGTCCTCATCGTTATGTGGTACTAGTCTTTTTGCCGATTCTAAGTTGGGATATACAATCTGATGCTTGGTCTTGACTGTAAACCCTCATACGTTAACCATGCAGAAATCATGATCTTTGAAATGATCCTTTGGTTCTCTCTATATCATAAGGTACAGCAAATAGCATTGCTCTTTCCCTTTTATTAGGCCAATCCCTAAGTCTATTGGAACAAGCTGAACATGTGATTTCTGGTGCTCAACTCTTGAAATCTTGATTCCTGTGAGGGCATTCAAAGTACAACTGGGAGATCTTTTTGATTTCAGTTGTGATGACATGTTGCTGAGCTTTGGTGGTAAATGAACCACAGACATAACAAAATCTAGCAGGACTGTTCTTGCAATGCCTTGACATCTGGAAGAGAGTTTGATGATGATGATTGAACACTGGGCTGGATGGGTGACGAATATCAGACAACAGACAAGAAAAAATAAAATTTATGGTGATACTAAATATGGTTAATGGAATATGCCGTGAAAAATGTTTTACTAAGCCATAAAAAAATCTTTAATAAATCATAAAATTACATAATACACACAATTAGTAATAAAATACAAATAAGTAGTTACCTATATAAGATTTTTATGGGTGGCAATGCAGCTGATTGGAGTTTTATGCGCACCTCATCTTATCAAAGAAACTGCCTCGTAAAAGAAATTTGGTTACATTCAGCAGACAAGATGGCATACAATATGACACATAACATTTCTGATGAAAATTGGCTGTTGACCAAAATAATTAAAGAATGAACATTACCAATGACTGTTTAAAGTTTGTTGACACGCTGCTTTGGAAGGTTCTGTTTAGTATTTAATTTTTCTTGTTATATCATTTTCAACATTTCTGAAAAAGAAATTAAATATTTTTTTACTATGATTGAGGGATTAATCTTGCTTAAGCCAGAACTTTCTCAATTTTTTTTCATTGCTGGCAAATTTTTTTAAAGCTAAAATTTTTTATTCTACATAAGTTTTGTTCTGAAGCTAAATATATAATTCAAAATGTATGTAAAAGAAAAAACATTTTGTTTCAACAACAGCAATTAAGAGGCGGTTCCATGCTCCTCAAAACTTCCAATCAGAGGCCTTGCTGTCAGATTTTATATTTTCTAACAAATGTGTATTTTTTTTTCTTAACCAATTCACCCCAAGCAAAGCAACAATGTCACTAAGATGCTAGGGGCTACTGAGGATGAAAGAGAATAAAAAGACTTTAGAAGGAACTGGAAACCCAATCCTAAACCAGAAACAAGGGATAAACCTCTACTCCTGTTCAAAAGACCAGAGAGGAGTGTGAGCTGGATGATAGGTAAACCTATCTACTTCTATTGAGAAAAAAATAATAAAATAAATAGTAAATAAAATTTCGGAGTTTAGGCGGAGATGTTAGAAGTATAGACTTTAGAGGGAACAGGAAGTGTGGTATATATTGAGGTTAGAATTTAGTTGAGGTGATAAACACACTAATTCTATGTTATATGTAGATACATACACACATTGCATCTATAGATTATCTATTCTAGTTGTATGTCCATACCTACTTGTTGTTCAGTTGGCTTATGGCCATATCACACAATGGTTCATACCATCCCCAAAATTAAAAAATGTCGAACCTGGTCAGTACGAAAATGTGTGACCACTTGGGAATACCAGATGCTGTAAACATGGATGTGCCAATGCTGTAAATAATGATTTGGAATTGGAAGTTGGAGAGCTGAGTTCCAATTCCAATTGGGTTCGTTATATTCACTTGCGCATACTTACACTTTACTTACTTCTCCCTCTAGCTATGGGTTAATTAGTTGAATTTTCCTAAATAAATCTTTATTTCCCCAAAAAATTCTTATAATGTAAAAAAATATTGTCTGGCTTTAAATAACACTCAAAAGGTTGTTAAGCCATAAAAAATAAATCAATCAATTGTTGTTTAGGCATCCCAGAGATAATAAAAACTCAGATTGGAATAGCTGGTTGGATTGGGTTTCCGGTTCTCTTAAAAGTCTTTTCAACTATGTACTCTTAATGTCTCCGCATAAACTCACAAATTTTATTTACTATTTATTCATTTATTTGTTTTTTTCTTTAATAGGAGTAGATAAGTTTGCCTGTTGTCTAGTTCACACTCCTCCCTCCTTTTTTAACAGGAGTAGAGGTTTATCCCTTGCTGTCTCTTTAGGATTGAGTTTCCAGTTCCTTTTAAAGTCAACACTATATGTCTAATGGCTCCGCATAAACTCTGAAATTTTATTTACTATTTATCTTTCCTCAATAGGAGTAACTAAGTTGTCCAGTCATCCCAGAAATATTAAAACATTAGATTGGAATGGTTGGTTAGATTTTAGGGATAGGTCCAAGACAATACAGAATGTTTAATTAGAATTTTTCTTTACTTTTTTTTTCTTCTTCACAGGTCATGAATGATTGCTTTTGTTTCTTTTCAGCGGTGGGGCTTTTCTCTTCTATCAACAAAGGCGCCACAAAAAAAAACGGTCCAATCGAATACCTAGTTGGCAAGTGAAACAGATGGAATCACAAACCGAAACTGGTTTAACGTTCCAAAACGAGGCATTTTTAGAAAAAGTAATTCATCATCAGTATGAGAGTGTCTTGAAAAGTCCTTTGAAGGAAGAACCCTGGGAAAGAGGCATATGGACAAAGGAACCAAGGTAAATAAAATTTAAAGATTCATTAGTATCACCTTAATATTATTAGTATGAATAATAATTTTCCACTTGTTTACAAATATATATTAGCATGAATTTTTCTTAGTCTTGCCAGAGGAGTGGTAGTAGTAGTTGTAATGATTAAAATATGCATCTACACATGATGACATGTACTTAGTTGGTCATATGATTTGTTTAATGGCATATCAACTCCCTATGGGTCATTTAATGCTGAAATGTAATTTTCTTGGGAGCATTAGTAATTTCTTTTACAAAAATGTATTGTTGGTAATATTTTTTTTTTTTTTTTATAAAAATTGCTGGTAATATTTTCTTTTTTTTTATAAAAATGTATTGCTGGTAATTTTTTTTACTATGAAAATGTATTGCTGGCAACTACACTATAAAATGTATTTCTTCACTTTCATAGTGTTTTAACCTCAGTTTGCCCATAGCTGGGACCCTAACAGGTTCTACCACCCTGCGTCAGAGTGGACACGGGAACAACAGCAATTAATAGCTGGTTCCATGCTCCGCAAAACCTCATGATCAGAGGCCTTGCTGCCAGATGTAGTTTGTCTACCTGGGATGTATGCATATTGTCTTCTTTTAATCCTGTCATCATGACAGTCACGTTCTTTGATCATATCAGCCATAACCCTCTTTTGAGCAAGTCACATTGCTAAATATATTAATTTATTTATATGAACTTATTAGATATTCTGGGTGTGATGCTGTGATTAGATAATGAGTGTTCTGACCAGGGCCAAATTTAAGCCTTAAGAGTCCTTTGGATTAATAGAATTTGGTGATCCCTTCATTACATATATTCACCCCACCACTGTTTATTAAAAAAAAATATTTTAGATAATGCTTTTTTAGTGTAAAACATGAAACCTTTCAACCAAAATTTTATTTTTTTAAATTTAAATTAATAAAATAATTTTTTGATTTTGGATTAATAATTTTTTTTTGTCTATATTTCTGAGATGAGGTATTGTAACTATTTACATTGCTCAGACTATTGTCCTCATCTTTATTGCCATATTCACAACATTTCAGTTATTGTATACGCCAACCTTCTTCATTTGGAATTTTGAGCCAAACCTTTTATTTAGTCCACTGAGCTAGTTTGTTCTAGTTCCACATACCATGCCTTTTCTGGATATCTCAGTTTCAGTTATTTTCCTTTAGTAACTCAACTCTCCAAGTTTTTGTTTACCTCTGCTGTGGCCAGGGATTGAACTCACAACTTTTTGGGTCAAGTCACTGGATTACTTCAACCAACACTTTTATCCACTGAGCCAAATGTAAATAGTATAAATTATTTTTAATTTTTATCAGGAGCTCAAGACTAAAGAGTTAACCCTTATCTTTCCCACATATTCCCATAAACTGTGCCTTTAACTCTGTAACTCTCTACCTTAAGTGGCTCTTGGGCCTTGTACAGGGTGAACATTTTTAATTAAAGTTCCATTGTATTTATTCTGTTGTGAATACTGCTCCCTAGTTTGGCTAGAAGCAGGGGTAACCAAATTTTTCAGATGTAAATGATGAATTGTCATTATTTGCAGAGGTCAAAGGAAATGGATATGGAAGGAAGGAATTTCAGCACGGAGAAATTTTCTGATATTTTTTGTACAAAGTAATAAAGGATGAACAAAAAGAGAAAAAATATATGAGTGCATACACAGCTAAAATGGAAGTAAAGACATTACAACTTAGCATCTAGGAAATGTGTCTATTTTGCCATTGTGTGAGAGAGAGAGAAAGAGTTCAGTGGTCAGTGGGGGAATAAGTCCTCCCGAATGAGAATGAAGGCTTGTGTTTCGAAAAAATCTTGGCGAGAAAGAGGAAAATAGTGTTCCTTCTTTTATAGTCCTTAAACATTGTCACCAACACACCCTTTATAATAAAGGGTAATAATTTGAATCTGCTAGAGTCAGATGAATGACAAGATTTGTAGGACATGTGAATTAATGCAATTGGAAAAATATGTTAAGTTTATTCCTGAAAATGTAAATTATTGTGAACAAAAAATTAAGAGTCTTCAAGATACTATTTCAAAAACAAGATAGTGTTTCGTTTTCTATGGCTTATCAACCCTTTGCAGGTTATTTAAAGCCAGAAAATATTTTTAGATTGTAAGAATTTTGTTTTGGAGATAATGGTTTAGTGATGCAAGTCTTAATAAGTAACCCATAGCGAAAAGGTGGATTCATATCTAATCAGAATTTGATAAACAAAAAATTATAATGTGGATATAAAGTGGGGGATCAATTCTATATTACAATGAATATATAAACTGGTCCCTCACTTTGTGGCTATGCTAGTTTCAATACATTTATATTCCAGAGAATGTAAATAAATCTAAAAGACATGCCTACAAAAAATTATAATGTGGATATAAAGTGGGGGATCAATTCTATAATACAATGAATATATAAACTGGTCCCTCACTTTGTGGCTATGGTAGTTTCTATACATTTCTATTCCAGAGAATGTAAATAAATCTAAAAGACCTGCCTATGTAGCAAATCAGTATTCCATTTTTTGATTCATTCATTTTCTATCGCTTATCAACCCATTGCAGGTTATTTAAAGCCAGAAAATATTTTTAGATTGTAAGCTATTAGGAAGTGTGTATGTGAGAGAGTGAGTGAGTGAGGGGTAAATTTGGTCCTAAGTCATCCGGGGAAAGATATTGTCCCCAGCTTTGACGAGTCGCATGTTGGTTTTTCTACCCACCACATGCTTGGTTGAAAGGAGGAAAAACTGAAAGAGGAAGATACATACTTGTTTTTTTATAGGCGCACTTAAACAGTGCAACAATGGTGTCTTGGCAGACCAAGTGGCAATAATAACCACAATTTGAAACAATTTATTTCTTAAAAAAAAAAAAATCTTCTCCCCAATAGCATCGGACTTTTATTAAATAAAACCTGCAGACATGCACCCCCCCCAAAAAAAAATAAACAAAACAACTACTACTTTTTAAAATGCTGGATGAAATCCAAATGAAGATTAAAGGACTTAAACGTAGATATTTCTAATATTTATCTCGAAATGTGAAAAACATTAGGACCTGACTAGAAGAAGTAATTTTGCTTTAATAAACAAAATAAGAAAATTATATTTTTTTTCTGTCAATTTTTGGTTAAAATACTTCAATTTATCAAACAACATTTATGCTTTCTGCTTATCATGAACTAAATTAAAAATATAAGAAAATTATAAAGGAAAATTTATTCAGACAGTGAGACGGGTAATTGTAAAAGAATTTTTTTTATGAAAACTTTAAAACCTTTTTTGATTGAAATAGTTGGAATGCATTAATATTCTTTAAATAGAAAATGAACAAGCAATTCTTAAATCAATCATTCGTATCTTCTGTAACCTGATATGGGCTGTCAGCAACATGGCTGCTTTTATTCAATGACAAGTAACTGTGCTGCAATCAATCCCAGCAATCTGATGGTAAGATACTGGTGCTGTCATTAATGCTGGAATCATTTGATGATATGACATGACCAATGTTATTGCCTACGGTACTGGGTGTTCCCAAACGGTCACCCATCTAAATATTGACTAGGCTTGATGCTGCTTAACTTTAGTGATTGAATGGGAACTGATGTCTTTAGTGTGATTTGACTATGATCTGTGTGTGTGTGCACGTGTGTGAGAGAGAGAAAGACAAAAGGAAAAGTTATCTTAGCCAACATGTTTTGCTCTTTTACAATTATACTCTATCTGACTGAAATCTTGTGTGTGTGTATATATATATATATATATATATACACACACACACACATGCACACACTCTAATAATATGAATGAACTGATGTGCAACTATATTCCATTTCAGAAATAGTTTTTACTTAAAGGAATTATAAATGTTCAGTTTATTTTCTTTTTTCTCTAGAACACTTCGCACTGGAGTTTTGGCTTTAAAACTTGGGATTATACCTCAGTGGACAAAAGATGGGACAAAAATTTACACTACACTTTTGCAGGTAATTGGCTTAATAAATATGAGGGTTTGTAAAAAAAAAAAGTAATGTCTGTTTTTCAGTTATAATGGATTTAATAGTAGAAGCACCAAACTGGAGCTACCATAGCCCATCTTGGATACAAGATAAAGCTGTTGCTGCCTATAATAGTAGAAGCACCCAACTCTTACCAAATTGAACAGAAACGTCTCAGGATTCCAAATTTAGTCCTTAACAGTTTTCTTCCTTCTCAATGTATTGCACCTTTGAACTTATATGCTTCTCCTGTTGTGTAGCTCTATAAGCTCTTGGGGTGTCTGTAAGCAATTTGGGAACCTGTTTTGCACAGGCCTTTTAGTAGCCAAGCAACTGCACCCAAACTACAGAAACTACCATGGCTCATCTGCCTTGTACAGGTTTTTTTGGCTGCTTTCCTAGTCATGTGTAAGTTGCTTCTTTCACTTCATCAGAAGTAGAGAAATTTTGTTCTCTGAGTGTTATTAGGTAAGCTCTAGAAGCTTTTGTCCAGCTGCTTTCTTAGCCATGTGTAAGTTGCCTTTTTCACCCCATCATGTTTAGGAAGATGCTATTTCATGTTGTGAAGCTCTAGAATCTCTTTATGGAGGTCTGTAAGCAATGTGGGAACCTGTTTTGTACAGGCCTTTTAGTAGGCAAGCAACTGCAGGAACTACCATGGCTCACCTGAAGTTTTTGACAAAGTTTTGCAACACTAATTCTTTTGTTAACTGTAATGAAAGCACCAGTCTGACCTTGTCATTCATAACAGCAGTTGGTCTTCCCACAAACATCCCCTTGCACTTCTTTTTTAAAAATGGAAATTCTATGGTGGCACCATGGGTAGATACAAGGCTGTCATTTATAAAGAGCATTTTGAGCAAAAGTTAAGAGAAGATGACACTATAAATTTTCAACCTTGGGATTCTAGGTATTTTATGGCATATAGTTTTAGAAAAACAAAAAACTAATACTTTATTTAAGATTTAACCCTTTGAGCCATGACCACCACTTTACCGATGGTAGAGAAAAATGACTTAATGCCCATCTATTGGTTGAACAGTGGGTAAACACTTGTAATTATTTTTATATCTACTGTAAAACATTACATACCAATTATTTGCAAATTTTGACTCGAGAGCTCAGACAGAAGAGTTAAAATTGTTCAGGAACGTATGGCTCAAATGGTTAACTAATACTTTCAAAATTGAATTAGAAATGAAATTATTTTTTGATAATGGTTTTTAGAGGTTGAATTTTTTCATGCTTTCATTTGAATAATAAAAAGCTTCAGTTCACAATCAACTTATATTTTAACATTTATTTGGTACAACTTTTTAACTGCTGCTGCTGTTGTTGATTATTATTATTATGAGTGATTGATTGATGCAAGACTTCCAGAAGATCATGATTTCCAAAGAGGAAAGAAAAATTCCAATATATAATAATTTGTTTTGAAGAGAACAATCTATCTGTCTTCAAGTTGTATATAAAACAATAATGCATACAAGTTAAAAAAAAAACAAAAAAAAAATGTGAAAACTTTGTTGGCCTTGAAAAAAAAGACTGTTGCACTAGTAATCAATGTGATGAGGCAATTGAAACGCTTAACACATGAAGAAAAGTACATGTGTAAATTACTAGCATCCATCCCAAGGAGAGAATGAACAAAAATAGTAGGGGGTACCATCAGCTTGACTCTAAATTAGTTGTTCCCAAATGGTGCAGCACACCTCATAGGTACAGCGGAAGAGGATAGCAGGTGAGGCAGAAATTTAGAAACAGTGTAATTGCATGCATGAGTCCCAGTATAAATGGTTATAAATAATTATTGACTGATTTTGTAATTGTGCTATTTTTGCATTATATCAAGTAATAAGAATATAGTAACTAGGGTCTGCAAATTGAAGGAGAGAGTTATCAATAATAATGTTCTGACTTTGAATCCGCAGTTATCTCCCTTTAACACTCTCTATTTTATTTTTAAATGTACTTTTTATCACATTAAATTTGGTGAGGTGCAAGCAAATTTTCATTCTGAAAATGTGGCCCAGAGAAAAAAAAATGTTTAGGAATCACTGCTCTAAAGTGTTTGATTAATCATGCTTAACTAACTAATCAACTCACAGAAAATTGTAAGATTAGCTCTACTCCCCATTATGATAGTTGCATCTTACTTACGCTGACCACATTTCATTTGGATTATTGAGTTGATTAGCAGTGCCTATGAAAGATCTGTAATATTTGAGTGTTAGTAAATTTTCATACTACCTGCTTCAGCTATTGCTTGTAAATTTCTACACATCCCACTTCAGACATTGCTCAGAAGGGTTTGCACTGTTTATTTCAGACATCGGCCATAAATGTTTGCACCTCCCACTTTTTTTGCATCAGTTGTAAGTGTTTGCCCCTTCCATTTGAGGCTTTGCTCATAAATGCTTGCCCTTCCCACTTGAGGCATTGCTCATAAATGCTTGCCCTTCCCACTTGAGGCATTGCTCATAAATGCTTGCCCTTCCCACTTGAGGCATTGCTCATAAATGCTTGCCCTTCCCACTTGAGGCATTGCTCATAAATGCTTGCCCTTCCCACTTGAGGCATTGTTCATAAATGCTTTCCCTTCCCACTTGAGGCATTGCTCATAAATGCTTTCCCTTCCCACTTGAGGCATTGCTCATAAATGCTTTCCCTTCCCACTTGAGGCATTGCTCATAAATGCTTTCCCTTCCCACTTGAGGCATCACTCATAAATGCTTGCCCTTCCCACTTGAGGCATCACTCATAAATGCTTGCCCTTCCCACTTGAGGCATCGATCATAAATGCTTGCCCTTCCCACTTGAGGCATCGATCATAAATGCTTGCCCTTCCCACTTGAGGCATCACTCATAAATACTTGCCCTTCCCACTTGAGGCATCGATCATAAATACTTGACTTGTCACTTGAGGCATCAATCATAAATGCTTGCCCTTCCCACTTGAGGCACTGCTCATAAATGCTTGCCCTTCCTACTTGAGGCATTGATCATAAATGCTTGACTTCTCACTTGAGGCATCGATCATAAATGCTTGACTTCTCACTTGAGGCATCGATCATAAATGCTTGACTTCTCACTTGAGGCATCACTCATAAATGCTTGCCCTTCTCATCTGAGGCATCACTCACAAATGCTTGCCTTTCCCACTTGAGGCATCACTCACAAATGCTTGCCTTTCCCACTTGAGGCATCACTCACAAATGCTTGCCCTTCCTACTTGAGGCATCACTCATACATGCTTGCCCTTCCCACGAGGCATTGTTCACCTCAATATTTATTCACCTTTAGTTTTTGAACATCCATCATAGTTCTGTATTTTGCTGTAGTAACTATGACAATATCATTTTATCAGAAGATATTCTGACCCAACCTAAAATAAAATTGGAAGATAAGGCAGGATTTGAGTCTATTTCCAGATTGTGAAAATAATGTTTCATTATCTGAAAAGCCGTATTATGTTCATGTAAAACTTCTTGGTCAATATTTGTGACTGCCTTTTAATTATGTTGGCATACAATCACTTAACTTGATAAACAAATTACAGAAATATTTTTTCCTCTCCAGAGAGTGAGTTGTTCTCACTCCACATGGTGTCTGGAGCCATCCCCCCTCTGGTTGCTGCTGTGGTTTCAATAACAAGTCGGCATTTATAGGGTGAGATTATCAGACCCATTCTCAACTAGATTTGAATTCAGAGTTATTCTTCTTCGCCTATGCTTATTTTCAATAAAGGCTAGAAAGCTATGTGTGCTCTATGATTTAACCCATAACTTGGGTGACAAGAAATAGATTCATACTCTTTTTCCTAAGGGTATTTGTGCAAATGTAAAAGCAATGACCTTCATCTGTATTTGTACTCAACAGGCTCATCCCACTTTCCGTAACAATAATCATCATGTGAAAATTCTGGAAATTTTCAAATTTGTTGATAAAAATAAACACATTCTGCACCAGAAACACATTTGTACTGTATTTTGTTGTGTATAATATGACTCCATGTTTCTGAAGTTAAAAATGGAATAATTTACATCCTTGAGTAGAATACAGCTTCATAGAACAGCCATCCCTATGGAAATGTGTTTTTTAAAAGTTGTACCATATTATTCATTAAAATCTTAATGCCGTACATATATTACACTAAAATTAAAATTTTTAATGATATTAAAATACAATAGAAATGAATTGGATGTTTAGCCATTGAATGTTTCTTCTTCTAATTTCCATTTTAAAACTTATTTTCATAGAAAGTTGCTTTGTTGGAACATTATTGTTATCAAAACACAACATATCTTGTGTATTCGCTTGATTCATTTTATTTTTTTTCTACCAGATTTTTTTCTTTTTTTTTTTTTTCTGTAAATATTTCTTTTTTCTTTCTTTCTGGAAATTTTTAAAAAAAGTTGTACCATATTATCCATTAAAATCTTAATGTCATGCATATATTACACTAAAATATTTAACTTTTAATGATATTAAAGAATAGAAATGAACTGGATGTTAAGCCATTGCATGTTTCTTCTCCAAATTTCCATTTCAAAATTGATTTTCAAATTTTGTGGAGGAAAGTGCTAACTAGACACACCCAGTAAAACATTTTAAGGTGCTAATTAATCTATCATGCTTTTCTGTTCGATTTGACTTTGTTATATTTTTATATATTAATAAATTATGAAAATATATTGTCTTTCATTAAGAATGAAGAGAGAAACAAATATTACCGACATATTAAATACCTTTTGTAAGCAATTGTTATTAACAGTTGCCGACTTTGTTTTATTATCCATTGTGCTGTGTTTATTTGCAATATTGCTGTTTCAAATAAGATATTTCTGTAAATGTGTACTTGTGTATAACCCCATCCACCCACCTTTAATTTTTGTTTAAAATTGCTCATATTACATGCAAGAAAATGCAAAAGTTAACTGTCTATTGTGTCTTGTAAGGCCATAAATAATAATAAGGTCATAAAAAGAGTTATGATCAATGTATAAACATGTCTGTAGCTGGCTTTTGAACGGTATATTGTGGATGTGTTTATTTGTCCGTGTCTGAAAAAGACTTTCAGTAAAGACATGTATACATGTCTATGCTGGGAAAGGGTTAAAATCTCAATGTTGTACAGATATTTCACTAAAATATTTAATTTTTCATGATATTAAAGAATAAAAATGAACCAGATGTTTAGCCATTTTTCCTAATTTTTGTTTCAAAACTCATTTTCTGAATTTTCAGGGCAAGGTTCTAACTAGACATAAATGGTAATAAATGTTAAGGCATTAATTTATCATGCTTTTCTGTTTGATATATGTAGTGATATGTAAATGACTGCTTAATTAGCATAGTTAAGCCATAGGGATTATATAAATTCCCAAGTAGTAGGAAGAAGGCAGAAGATGATACCTGAGATTAACGACTACTGCTGGGTTGAGAAAATATAAAGGAAATCCCACTTCATAACAATCTGACTTTATTATATTTCTATATATTAAAATAAAAATATTGTCTTTCATTAAGAATGAAGAGAGAAACAAATATGGCCGATATATCAAATACCTTTTCTAAACAATTGTTATCAACCCCTGCCTACTTTGTGTTTTATTATCTCTTGAGTGTATTTGCAATCTTGCTGTTTCAAATAAGAGGTTTTTTAAGCTGAGTAAAAATTTCTGAAAACATATGAACCCCCCTCCTTTTTTTTATTTAATTTTCGTTCAAAGGTTCTTTTATGCACAAGAAAATACAGTAGTTACTAGTTAAATATAGAAGGTACCAAGTGTCAAAGAAGTTTAAAAACAATTTATACAAGTAAAATCAACAAAAAAAACCTCTTTCAGTGAAACTAAAGGAGGTAAAAAAAGGTCATAAAGTTAGAAAAATAAAGTTGTCTGTGACTTCATGATTTTGTGTCTAGTTTCCAACAGAAATTGCCAACAATTAAAATGGAGAGAGAAACAAATATTACTGATACATCAAATACCTTTTGTAAATAATTATGAACACCTGCCTGACTTTTTGTTTTATTATCTATTACACTGTGTATTTGCAATATTGTTTTTTTAAATAAGAGGTTTTTAAACTGAGTAAAACATTTACTTGTGTATAATATGACCTCATTTTTTTTGTTTTTTTGCTTTTAATATCCATCCAAAATTTCTCGTGTTATGCACAAAAAAATACAGTATGTAAATTAATTTTATTTCTTCCTTATTACAAAATTCTCTTTCTGCAGGTTCTTGACAATCATGTAATCAGCTACAAATCTCCAAGGGAAGCTGCCAGTCTTGTCTCGATGCCCCCTTACCATTCGAACAAATATGGAGTGGCTGTTGTTGGTGCTCTTGGTTCAGACCCCCGCCAGGTTAGTTCTTTTGCTTTTGGAGGGGGGAGACGCATAATTACTTTAACCCTGTGTTAGTCAAATGGGATGTTTTGTCACTCTTTTTAAAGTACTTGTCATTCCTGGTTGGTAACTTGTTTCTTTTGCTCCCTCCACCTACTCTCCTGACCCTGTGAGAAAGTGTTAGCATATGGTGTGGCATAGTTGTAGCTCATTTGTCATGGGAGGCAGATGTCTTCTTCAGAGTGTCCTGTCGCTACACCTGACTAACAAAGTTAAATTTTCATCATTTATATTGTAATATATGACAATTGGAAACATTTGTGAAAGTAGATTTGTTTACAAATTTATCCAATAATGCATTTTGTCTTTTAAGGCTTCAGATCTGAAAGTGAAAGAATGAAATGTTTATTTGTATGTCGATTTAAGTAATGAAATCTTGGTACTTTTCCCTAAGCTGGTGTTTCTCATGACTAAAAAAGAAAGAAAATGTGTGGACATTTCCAATAGTCAAAAATTTTTAAAAACTTTGTTGGGATTATATATACTATTTTTAAAATGCACTATTTACTTGGAAAAAGCATGGCTAAACAAAAAAGAAAAACAATTCTTTTACTTTCTACCTATTTTGAAGGATTATATGAAGATTTACCTTGGATCCATTTTCAAAAAAGGCTAAATAAATTTTTTTAATTTTGAGTCCTTCTGATAAGGAGAAGAGGATTTACTTTTTATTTGATACAGGCAAGCTGGGAAAATATATAACAACTTTTGACTCGTACTGAGAGTAAAGAAAATAAATGTTAATGATTTTTTTTTTAAAAGTCACTCAACCATGTTGATGGAAAGTAAAAAGGATTCTCTCAGATAATTAAAAGAGAGCGGTTTCATTTTTGAGGTGTTAAAATTAAGAAGTCAATTCTTGCTCCATTTAACAGATTGTAGGTCATTTTTGAGATCAGCTCCAAATGTGACCTTATTCAACTGATCAAACTTATTAAGACTAGAGTAAAATATTTGTAATAGTAAGTTTGATTGGTTTGCTCCATTCAGTTGAGTTTGTGGACTCTGAAATGGCTAATGAAACCAATTTTTGCTTGAAAGATCCTTTGACATTGAGGACAGGTTGTTTCCAATGATAGTTTAGGCCATGGTGGTGTTGGTTGTTGTTCTTTTTGAAGTCTTCTTTTTTCATCTAGTTCAGCTGATTGTTCAAGATTGTGCTTCTATTTCTGACAATGGATCTCCAGAGATTCCTATCCTTTGCACTGGATTCCCAGCTGTTGATGCCAATGTTAGATTTCTTGATGTTTTGTTTTAGAACGTCCTTGACTATCTTCTTTTGATCTCCTCTTTTTTGATTTCCTTCTTTGAGTTGGATCTAAAAGATTTGCTTTGGGAGGCAGGTGTCATCTAATCACACCAGATGTCCACGCTGTCAAAATTGACTTTTTTTTCATGATGATGATGGCTTTGATGCTGGTCATTTTAACTTGTTCTAGTATACCGATGTTAATTCTTTTGTCTTCCCAACTAATGTTCAAGATACTTCCAAGACAACACTGGTGAAATTATTCAATGAATTTCAGATGTCATCTATAAGTTGTCCTGGTCTCAGAGGCAAATAGGAGAATTGGAATCACTACTGCCTTGTACATTAACATTTTGTTGTCACAGTCTTGGAAAATTCTTATTTTGAAGCTGACCAAAATTTGATCCTGCACATTTGAGACGGTGTTGTATCTCATCTTGAAGGCCAATGCCAGAAGAAAAATGGCTACCAAGATGAGGAAAATGATCCACATTCTCTCAGACTGTTTCACAAATTGGATTTTTGGGTCTGTCTGAACTGTTTGTTAGTGCTGGTTAATAGATGATTTTTGTTCGATTTGAGTTGAATTTTAGTCCAATTTTGGTGTATGCATTATTGAAGATATTCAGTTTTTGTTGCACATATGTGTCCTTATCAATATAAAAATTGTTAAATAACCACAAAAAATTTAAGATTTAACTCCAAGCATCATTTGAAAATCTCTTAACACAAATGTCTTTCAACCCATTCTGATGCTGGACAACTTTCTAAACTCAAATGACATTTGGAAATAAAAACAATTGTTTTTGTTGAGTTTTAAATTTGTTTTATTCTTTGGTTCTATTGTTTAGGATGATATTAGAAATTTTGATTTGACTATCAATTGTATATGCCAACATTTTACATCCCGTGACAAATAAGCTAAATAAGCATGATGTTTTGTGTGCTTTGCATGTAGGCAGCCATTTGCAATGTGAAAAGTATGCATGCATGGGTACAATCCTTATAATACCATTGACTGATAAGTATTTATGTTCAAAGATTTGTTTGAAGAAGCAGCTGTTGAGAAAAGATTGCAATTGGTTTCAATGTACAGTTGACTGTATGTTTCCCAGTTTATGATATGAAGTGAGATACTTTTTTCCTTGCCTTATTTTGATGTCTCTTCCTGTGTTTATATTACAGAATTAGCCTACTCACAAGAACACATTCATATTAACAGGTTGCAACAGCTATTAGGGAGATGTGATTAAATATAATTAATATTTTAAAAAAAATTTATTCAGTATTATTATTGTTTAGGTAATAAGCATTATAACATAGCACAAATAGCTATATTGTGGGAAAAGGAATTTTCAACAATATACGCATTTTTATGTATTTATGGTTATTTTTTAACTTTGATCAAAAACAACATTCTTGTACATGTAGTTATAGATAATATTATACATTAATTACTAATTTTTTTAATTAATAGCTATTTGTGCTCAGTTGTTGACATTAATAGCTATCTGCTGATGTGTTAAAATTTTGGAATAATGCAATAATAAAAATTTAAATTTTATCTCTCTGATAGATGTTGCGATCTGTAAACAAATTGAACTTGAAGACAGAATTTGGATTTGAACTTCAATCACACCAGCCAACTGGTCGTCATCAATGTTTTACTGGGTTTATGGTACTGATTTGAGAATTATTCAAAATACAAGGCAGGGTTGTTGAATTTGGTTTGGGGTGGAGGTGATTCGCACCTTGTCCATTTCTTTTAGTTTTCCTTCTATTTTTAAAAATATTTATAAAAACACATTAATTTTTTTTTTTTTAAATTTTAGTTCACTCCTGAATACAATGCACTTTTTGAAAAGACAGGACTTCCACCTAAGAAGAAACTTGGTCGGTTTTATGTGACACCGAATGCTGCTATTCAACCAGGTATCTGATTAAGTTTGCCTTTGCACAATTGTTCATAAAGTTTTAGTTTTAATCTATTATTTCTGTATTTTTTTTTTTTTTAAAAAACAATGTTGCTTATGATCCTTATAATTTTCCCCTGGATTCATATCAAAATAAGATTCTCTAGCCTTGGTTGGCAAACAGCTTAAAAGATTGGGTTTGGGGCTGTCAACTCCATCCCGTAAAATGCCTATATGTTATTGTTATAGTGGAACACACCTATTCTATAGTTAATAGACTCTCCCACCTATAATAAGTAGGAGTAGTAAGAGGAACGAGGAGTCACTCAGTGGTTTGGTCAGTCAGTCGATGCCGGACGACCGTTACTCAGATACTAAAGTATCAGCGACCACAACTAGATTTACTCTGCGCCATACCTATTATATCAAGTTCCTAACGTTTTGTACGTCGAACCTATTTTAGGACCGACTTAGTACAAATACAAGCCTCCAATGTGAAACCACTCCACAACAGTTATAGAAGCCATAGCAGCAACACTAGTGTAGTGAAGCTGTGTCCCTCTCTATAGTCCTTATGGATTCATCTTTGTCATGTTGTATCAGATGTGGCATTGATCCTGCTTTTGGTGTCTTTGCATACTTTCTGCTCTTCTGTGGGTTTATCGTTAATCAGGCTCAACACCTGACCATCAAAGCCCTATCCCTGAAGGGGAACACTGTCATTGCACTTCACTTGGGATGATGTCATCTAGGTACTGACTAGACTTGACATTGATTAACTTCGATGATTGTAGGAAAACCACTGTTGCAGCATGATATGGTTGTTAAAAGGGTGCAAATTGAGTGCTCCAGATCGAAATAGCTGTGCAAAAGAGGGTGTGGATTCAGTGCTCCAGATCAAAATAACTGTAGAAAAGTGGTCCAGATTAAGTGTTCCAGATCAAAACAACTATTTGAAAGGAGTCTGGAGTGAGTGCTCCAGATCAAAATAGCTGTGCAAAAGGTGATCTGGTTCATAACTGTTAATGTTATTTGTCTGAAAATGACAGTTCTGTGTAGGATACGGGTTTGATTCCTGTTGGAGGACACACATTTTTTATAAAATTTCTCAGACATTCAGGCCAGTACATGTAATTAATATTGCATTTTATAAACAGATCATATATATTGGATAATGACATATAATTTTTTATATATCAAGAACAGTTTTGGAGGAAATGTATGACAAAATGGGAAAAGAGTTTTTGTGTGATCTGTTTTGTCCTTTACAACTTCATCAGGCTAAGTTTGTTTACATTTGTGTGTATATATATATATATATATATATATATATATATATATATATATATATATATATATATATATATATATATTAGTTTCACAACCAACATGGAAAATCAGGAAATAAAAAATAGTTGCTTCTTTTTAAGAAAAATCAAGAAATGTTTGTTTAGTCTCGGAAAATCAGGGATTTTTATAATGCAACTTATCATGCATTGAATGATATGATTTTTAGATTGAAATTCCTTAAAAATAAATGTAAATGCCATTTATGTTATATGGATTTGTTTTTGAGGATTAGTAAAATTAAAATCAAAATGTCTTCTTTTTCTATTCATCTTTTTAACTCTACTCTAGCACAGCTATATACTTACAATTGCTTGTCTATTATATAATGTCCCAAAATCATAGAATTCTTCAAGGAATTTTAGTATGGGAACACTGTGGATGTTAAATTCCTAGAGAATTTTTTTCTTTAATAAATTCTGGTTTGTTCATATACAGTTGTTTTTTTTATGGTCTAATTGTATCAACATCATTGTCTTTCCTACCTTCTTACTCAGCCCCCAAATGCTATGACCCCACCATAGGTGAGAATAATATGCTTACTAGTAAGCTTATGGTTAAGAAGACTTTTAAAAATGTACATTTTTACTTTTTATATTATTGAGGAAGATTTATTTGATTGCCTTCTTTTTGTTTTCAACTCATCCATTCTTCAGCCTTCTTCAAGCATAAAATCCCAAATGAAAGAGATGGGATTTTCCAAACATGCTGGCAAAAAGGAAAAGAAATGATGGCAGATTTACCAACTAGCTTAATTCAATATATATTTTGTGCACATTGTAGTAAAAAACAAATTTTTGCTTGACTCGAGTAAAATTCATTAAAAAAAAAAATATATATTTTGGCATACTGGATATTTTTAAGAATAATTTTTATGCCAAATTACATGCAGTTTTCTTCCGAGATTTGTCTGTCCAAAATAAAATCTTCATAAAACTGTTTTATCTTTTCCAGGTACTCCATTGACATGTATGCATTTTCGTGTTGGGGATTATGTGGATGTTCAAGCAAAAACGTGAGCCTCTCTTTATAACTAATTTATTTTACTAATATTTATTTTTTCTAAAATTTGAATATTTTTGTGTAAAACTAGTCTTGTACCATTTAACTGTAAAGTAACTTAATTTTAATGGAAGTAAAGATTGGTAAAAAAAAAATATTTAATGAATGAACATTAGAATAATCAGTAAATACTTAGAGATGACCAACTTCTAACCAATTATTTGGATTGGTACAACACTAATTCATATAAACCAGTAAAATATGAAATATGACGAATGAATCTGCCAAATGCTTGCAAGCAAATTGCCTAAATTCCTTCATTGTCTAAAGATGGCACTTGCATCACCTCAGTTATATATATATATATATTTCATAATAATTCATCATGTCTAGACCTAGAGATCTCAAAAGAATGCAGAAAAGCCATTTTGTTCTGTTTTCGGGACACATCAGCAGGGCACATCAACTACCAAGAATTGACCTTAGACTGTTATGATACAACACAAGCATCATACCATTGGACCAGCAGGGCTCAGTGACGGAGAGGAAACTAAGTAATTAGACACAATATAGTGCAGTTAATGTTATTTTTGGTGTTGATACTCATCCAAGTAGACATAACCCACTGGACAGGCCCCAAGAGCAATGATTTTCTTCAACAAGCTGCTCTAACCAGAACATTAGAAGCTGGATCTATCATAGGATTATATAATTGAAGAATATTTGGGAGAATTTGAATAATTTTTCATATATATAATGAGTGGAGTATATCTGATATACCCATGTGTCTTCTATTGAGTCATTATGTAAAGAGAAGAATTCATTCTCACATGGGGTAATAGAATCAACTGTACAGATACAAAATACTAGATTGATCATACAGAATATAAGAACAATACAATTGCAAAATTACTTCAGTTTTGCAGTCAATTTTTTAGAGTACACATTAACTAGTAGTAGTAGTAGTAATAATAATTATTACCAACATTTTTTTTCTTTTGATGATATCAAAATATCAACTTGGGAAAGGCTTACTAATTAAGACTGATTCATCTGATTTTTATGACTTATCAACACTGTGGGTTATTTAAAATGCAAAAAGATTTTGAATTGTAAGAATTTTTGGCAAAGTTTAACTTTTGTACACACACACACACAAAAAAAAAAGAAAACAAAGCACTGACACTGCCATTGCTATTCTTCCTCAGCAATGTTTATTGCTTTAAAAAGCTGTTAAGAATTTCAATAATTTTATATTTAAATGATTAAGAAATAAGTGAACCAACTACAATGTAATGTTTTACTATTTAACATTTTATAAAGTAATAAATATAAAACCTTTTTTTTATTCATAAATTTATAAAAATTTACAAAATTATAAATATGTGAACCAACTAATATTTATTATTTACCATTTTATATAGAAATAAATATGAAAAGATTTTTTTATTCATAAATTTATGAGAAAATTTAAATAAACAATAATGAGTAACTGAAGTTATGAATTTTTGAAAAAATGCATATATATATATATATATATATATATATATATATATTGTACCACCCCAGTTTTATATATATATATATATATATATATATATATATATATATCATTGCCATTTAATAAAACTTATTCTTGTATTATTTCTGAAGAATTAAAGCTGTTTTTTTTTCATTTCACTCCAAGATAGGCAATAAAGCCACTAAGACTCAAGGGGGTTAATGAGTATGAAAGAATATAAAAAAAGAAAAACATTTTTAGAACGAGAGCAATAAAAGAACAGAAATTAAGACAAGGTTACATTTAAATTTTTGAAGATCAAAATTAACTGGAGAACAAGAAGTCGGAAGTGACTTCCACAACTGATAAAAACGAAAGAAACTGTTATCATAGGACTTATGGTTCCATCTAGCAATTTCAACTGTAAAACGATGAGACCTAACTGCCAATGTAGTACTGTGCTTAAATTTGTTAAACTTGACATCTCAAAAGGATTGTCAAATTGGATTTGTCAGCTTCCACAGCAGAATTCTAAGAAAATATGGATCATTTTGTATATGAGTGCAGGTTGTGGTCAAATTAGCTGGATATTAAACTGTATATCAAACTCTTTCATCATATCATGACAAAAAAAAAAAGTAAGTAATAATTAGCATGCCTGCTTTTGAAAGATTTGTCCTCACTAAATTTTCTATATGCTAGAATTTGTAATCCAAAAGCATCTAAAGAAGCAAACATTCTATTTCTATACACAAATGGCTTCCTTAAAAACAAATCTGCATAAACAAAAGTAACCCACTTTTTCAAATGCATCACTGTAACCACTGATAAAATGTCTAAACTGCTTGTGCTCACATCCACTATTTGGTCTCCATTAGTATTCAGCAGATATTAGTGGCAAACAATAAGAATATTAACATTAAGGCTCTAAGTTCTAGGTTCAATATTGTCCCATGGTATAATAGGCTTGTGGATTAGAGCATTGGCTTGTGAAATTGGTAGCATATTAACTGTGAGTTCATTCTCTGGCCAGGGTAGTTCAGACTCAATAGAAACAGCAGTTTTAAATAAGAGAAAGATGAGACATGGTCAGTGGAATGAGAACAATCTACCCCTGTAGATTAAGTAAATTTTGGCATTAGAGCTACCCTCAATTCTAATTGTGATTTTTGGTCAAGTGGGTGGCCACTTTGAAGATCATACTTCATAGACTTTACTGCTGGTTGTAAAATCACCAGATACTTTGAACATAAATGAAATCATTTTGAGCCCACTTTATTTCATGTGTCCTAATGCTGAACAGACCCTATTGTGTCATAATATCTTACGTTTTTTATTTATTATTATTATTATTTATTTTATTTCTTCAACTACTTTTATGATTTCTTTTTCAGAATTGACCGAGGTTTCCAGGGAGTTATTAAGCGATGGGGAATGAAAGGTCTCCCTGCATCTCATGGTGTCACAAAAGCTCATCGGCGAATGGGGAGTATTGGTGGTCGGCCTGTAAGTATATTTTTTTAGAATGGTGCTGCACAATCTTCACTTACCAGCCTTGGTAGAATTTAAAATTGTTTATATGGTCTTGTGAGAGAATGCTTATTTTCAAAACCTGACATTTGCAAATAATGACATGGGCTCGGTTTCAAAACCTGACATTTTCAAATAATGACGTGGGCCTGGTTTCAAAACCTGACATTTTCAAATAATAACATGGGCCCAGTTTCAAAACCTGACATTTTCAAATAATGACGTGGGCCTGGTTTCAAAACCTGACATTTGCAAATAATGATGTGGGCCTGGTTTCAAAACCTGCCATTTGCAAATAATGATGTGGGCCCGGTTTCAAAACCTGACATTTTCAAATAATAACATGGGCCCAGTTTCAAAACCTGACATTTTCAAATAATGACGTGGGCCTGGTTTCAAAACCTGACATTTGCAAATAATGATGTGGGCCCAGTTTCAAAACCTGACATTTGCAAATAATGACGTGGGCCCAGTTTCAAATTTGACACTCGTAAATAAAAAAAAGGTAAAGATAAGTTTTAAAATAATTCAAGGATCAATTTGATGTTGTATTTATACAGGGTGTGTAAGATATTTGAGGACAGATTTGTTTATAGAAAAGCATATATATAACAGATAATAATTTTATTATTGGAAAATGTTATAAGCATAAAAATACATTATCTTTTATAATTTTATTCAATAGAGCCACATTCAGCTTCAGTAATTGCTATGTGAGATTGAAATCATCTTGTGGCTTTCAAAGAATCTTTGGTGTTATGTGTGTGTTCATGGACCTCTATCTCTCAACAGCACTCCACATGTAATAATCCAATGGAATAAGATCTGGAGAGTTAGGAGGCCAAATGTTAGGGGTTACGTTATGAAAATGTTCAGCAATCCATTCCTGCATTACTTGAGCTTTGTTTGATGGTGCAGAGTCTTGCTGAAACACATAAGGCATTCTATTGCGTACACTGTCTATCCAGGGCTTAACAACTGTTTCCAGGACCTTAATGTAGGCAGCAGAGTTAACTTCTGGAAAGAACTGAGGAGGCATCATATGGTCTTCATTGCTGACAAACCCCCTAAACCATGACAGTTGCATGAAATTTTTCGTGCATAACTGCTGGAATTTCAGAAGGGTCTGAACATAACTATCAGTCATTTTTCCTGTTAAATTTCTGACAATGGTTAAAGTTTTTCTTGTCTAAGAAAAAACAAATCACATCATCTTCTGCTGGATTTTTTGGTTTGTTTAAGAGCCTATAGATCTGATTAAGTGATTTTCTTTTATTTCTTTTCTGACATAATTTGACCTTTCCTTATCACATAAGACATATCTGATATCTTCATGGACAACATTTCTAATTGTTCCTTCTGACACATAGAAATCTTTTGCAAGTGACCTCATGGATTTTCAGGGATTGTCATCAATGATCTGCTGAACTTGTTGGCTAAATCATGTGTTTGGAGGATGTTAGAGAATTTGGAATGCCTTTTACTCTTTGATACTGATGATAAATTTCCATCTTTGATCTCTAACTCCTTACAAACTTTGTAGACAAAGAATCTGGTGACTTAAAATATCAAGATATCTAAATTGCTATACTCAACATTTACAGACACAATTACAGTGTGCCTTTTTATTTCTTGAATAAACTGAGTGTTTGCCATATTATTTAAAAAAAAAAAAAAAGATATAAAGTTTAGTAAAATGCATCAATAACCAGAAAAAGGCATGTCCTCAAATACTTTACACAACCCTGTATTATGAAAATAGACCTTGTTTCTAAAATGGTTAAAAAAATCAATATTTTTTTTATTCTGACAAATCCTAATCAACAAAATTTAATCACAAAAAGAAAATTTTTCCTTATTTTTTTACAGGTGGTTCATTTTTCCTTTTGTCGTGCCTTTGTTTATTCAAATTTGAATGAATTTGCTAGTAATTTAGTAAAACTGTACTTGTTTTTTTTTTTTGTTTTTTTTTTGAATAAGCAAAATTCTAAAAAAATTCCCAAAAGTCATTTTCACTCTCCCTCTTCTGAAATTGCAATGGAAAGCTTTATACTATTATAACAGAAGGAAATCAACACAATTTACGCATACAAATTTTAATCATGTCATTTTTTAATTATTAATTGCAGAATCGAGCGGCTTTCAAAAAAGGAAAGAAAATGCCTGGACATATGGGAAACGATATTGTCATGCTGCTTGGCTTAAAGGTAAAACAAAAAAATAAGAATATTGTTTCTTTTTAATATTTTATAAGTGATTCACATTCATGAGTACAGGATACCTTTCAAATGATTATATAATTATTTTCTTTCTTTGGATGTAAAGAAGGAATATGTGAAAAGCGGTTAGATTTTGAAAAAAAATTTTATTTACATGTTCATGTTTTGCTACTTTATGTAAGAATTTTCCAAAAATTCAACAAATTTGTTAGCATGGCCAATCTTGTTAGGCAAGTTGTTAGCATGGCCAATCTTGTTAGGCAAGTTGTTAGCATGGCCAATCTTGTTAGGCAAGTTGTTAGCATGGCCAATCTTGTTAGGCAAGTTGTTAGCATGGCCAATCTTGTTAGGCAAGTTGTTAGCATGGCCAATCTTGTTAGGCAAGTTGTTAGCATGGCCAATCTTGTTAGGCAAGTTGTTAGCATGGCCAATCTTGTTAGGCAAGTTGTTAAGCATGGCTTTCTTGCTCGACGTGTCATTGTGGTTAATTTGAAAATATTCTAATAGTTAATAGAAAAGTTAAAAATATATCAGTAAAGAAATCAATAGGATTTGCATATAGGAAATATGTTAAAATAAAATGTAAAAATGATGGCTAGACAGAGGAAAATAAGAAAGAATGAAAAAACATTTTTGCAAGAAAAAATAAAAATTTCACATTTAAAAAAAAAAAAAAAGTGAATAATTTAGAATGTAAATCCTAAGGAAAGTATATAATTTAAATTAAAATTACATGGTTTAACCAGAATCTGTTTTAATAGCATCTGTTTAAAGTTTTTTTTTGTTTTTTTTTGCATTTTCTTCATTAGAAAGGTAATATGTTATAAAAACCTAGATTTTTATTAATTGAACTGAATTGTGATATCATACCTGACTAAATAATTCTTCTAAATTTATTATCATAGTTGTGTATGTGTGTGTGTGTATTGTTATATTGTACCTATGTATGTCCCAATCCTCATAAATACAGTGGAATATACTGTCTGTGGGGATTTTGCCACTAGTTCACCACTAGCAGTGGATTACTTACTACACACAGCTGGTGAATCTTGTATGTTGTTAATGTTATAAAGATTACAATTCCATTTCCAACCTTCATTTTGATTATTCTTATTCATGAACCTTTTCTACGTTACAACATATTATGAGCAATGGGTAAATTGTCACCATTTAATTTTTAACTTAATTTAATGCACATTGTTTTTGATTTTGTCGACAGCACAGTATAGTAGGGTCAGTTGGGCACTGTCTGTGCGAAAAAGAGCACCATGATGCAATTCACTCCACCAGAAATTTGGAAATAGCATGCTGTACTGCTTGGAATTCATGCCGGAAGCTCCAATACAAGCATTTCAGAGTGTTTGGGTGTCAATCCGAAGATAGTGCAGAGGATTTGGAAAGAGTTGGATGATATATCCAGTCAACAGTATGGTGTTTGGAGTGATCATTAGTGATGGCAGTGTTATGCCTCCATTCATCTTCCCACAGGGATTCAGGCTCAAAATGCAGGCCTACATCATTCCTTGAGGAGTTAATGCTGCCCTGAGTGAAGAGGCTGGCTACTGGAAGGCCAATCCAGAGGAATTGGAAAGTGTTTAATGATTTGGAATGATTCTTATGGTGATTACGGAGGTATGGCAGCTCAGAAAACTCACCCTGATTGTTCTGATAAGCAAAGAACTCCTGAATTGTTGGTGAGTATCCCAAACTCAATATGGAGGCCTACATCGTCTTGAGGAAGTATCACTGACCTGGGTCAAGAGGGTGGCTGCTGGAAGACCCTGTGTCTGGCAATTAGACTCTGCACCATGCCACACAAGCAGGAAAATTCCCATGTCTGTCAGACAATATCTGCAACCACATCATCCTTTACATCTGGTCACCTAACTCCCCCAGACTATAACCCTTTGATTATTATGTGTGGTGCACAGTTGAGCAAGAGACCAACAAAAGAAGCCATGGTTAAAGCCAATGGAAATTTTATTGAATAAATTAACTCTTTAGTATTTAAAGATATCTTTTTGTGTAATTTTGGTAAATATATCTCTTAAAATGAGATGTTAGTGTTATTTTCATTTTTGTATAATTTAGATGACAATTTATCCATCGCACCCTGTATATATGGATTAGAAGCCAACAGGATGATTGGATAAGAAACAAATAGGAAAGGTCGAAAGATTTAACATGTTTCACTTTCATTTAAGCTTCATCAGATAATGAAAGTTCGAGAAAATTCTGCTATTTTTATTTATGTATTATTTGTTTTTCATTGGTTAAGCAGATCTCATGCCTGTCAAGTAGTGTTCGCATGTATAATTCTTGTGTGTGTGTATCATAATTCTAGTTGGTGTATGTGGGATTTGGTTGATTGTGTGTGTGTGTGTGCAAGTGTGAATTTGTGCATCTCATTGGCATTATTTTTTATCTGGTAATAAGAAAACAGCAAAATTTATAACATAGAGAATACTTAGAAGGAATGAGGATAAATATTTTCCCATCAATAAACATACTTCAAACACACTTTAGCATATTAGCAACTTTTCTAAAATCCATACTTAAAGATCATTCTAAGATCAGTCTCCCTATAACTACAACCAGTGTAACTTAAATTCTTTCACTTTCACATGAAACATCTGCCTATGGACATATGAACACTACCAGACATAAATGAAAATTCACATTTGATGAGAACTGTAGACATCACAGCAGGAATCACCAGATTACTTGCTCTTGCAGTTATTTTTCACGGGTGGCCATTTCTTGATTGCGATGACATGATACCATTTATAAATAATTTCTTGCATGTTGGAGATGTGCACTCCAAATTGTTTTGATTGCTTTTTGTAGCCTTCTCCATCATTATAGGCTTCAACTATGTGATTTTCTAAACCTTCAAGAAGTTCTTTTGACGTTGACATATTTTTAAATTTAATCTCTAACTGCTTCCTTTTGCATAAACAATGATTTACATTGATTGACTGCAGTCTCCATAGCTTACCAAAAAAAATGAACATGTGTTATTTTGATTTTTACATGTGCACAAAGGATTATTTTTACTAGCAATCATGTAAGACAAAAAGACTCAGCGTAAATGTAAGGGTTCACTTACTTTTGAACATCTTAATTTTTCATTTTTAATTAATATTTTTATTCCAGCTTTGATAAAAAATGTTTGAAAGTGGTTTTAATTCATTTAATGGATATTTTTCTTAATAAATATTTACTTTAAGACTTGATTATCTGGAAAAAAAGAATTTTTTTTTAATATTAGGGTTTCACATACTTTTGTGCAGCACTTTATATATAGTCTAGTATAATAAAGTGTGTGTATATATATATATATATATATAAAGTGAAACAGATTGTCACCTCTAAGTGTTGACTTCTATGTTCACTTTTATATTTACAGACACTCTATCTCTGATATTGAGCACTTTATCCCATTAATTTAGCACATCTTAAGACTATATTTCTTCATATATATATAAAATCTAGTACAATAGTGTGTGTATGTATGTGTAATATATATATATATATATATATATATATATATATATATCCCTAATAGAATGTGTGTGTGTGTGTATATACAGGGTGTATCAAAAATACTTCACAAACTTTTGGGGTGATATTCTCACCCCCAAAACAAGGACAAAAATCCATATAAATATATAGAAATGCTTAAAATTTATCTTAAAAATGACAGTTTTCAGGCTTTTAATTTTTTTTTTTTTTTTTTTTTTTTTTGTAGATCTGGCGGATTAATACAAAGTATAATATTTTATATGTGAGTGGGCCCAATGTACCTGGCCCAGTTCATGGATTTGTTCGTGTGATGGACACTGGACTTCACTATAAAATGAATATAGCTAACCCTCCTCCTATGCCAACTTGTTATGCAGAGGACTTGCCTGAGGAAATTTCCGAGGATTTATTTGACGAAGATCTCTTTCAGTTTTCCTCACCATCTATAACATATTCTGAAAGTGACAAGTAATGGATGAAGTTTGTTTTTTTTTCTTCACATCACTTACATTTCATAAAAACTGTTTTTTTCAAGACCTAGTTTATTAAAAAAAAAAAGTAAGTAAAAAAGCGTCTTTGTTTTCTATTTGTAAAAATAGTAATTATTTTATAAGATGATTCCCCCAAAAAATGGGCAGTTTCAATTATTCCAGACCAAAGCAAGGATACTGACTCTCATGAGGCTAACCTAGAAATCAGAAAATCAGGGATTTTTAGTTTGTATTAGGTTGAGTTACATGTTTTATTTTATTTTTTATTTTTAAATCATTTCACTCTAAGGCATTAAAGCCACTAAGATGCAAGAGGTTACTGAGTGTGAAAGAATGAGAAAAAGAAAAACATTATTAACGAGAGAAGACAATAAAAGAGCAGGAATTAAGAAGACAGAATATAATGAAGCCCAGATGTCAGGTCAGGACTGATAACATTGCAGATTCTTTGGAATTTATCAAGAATCTCTAAATATATAGCAGGAACATCAGACAAGATGTGGCAGCAATATTCAATGCATGGATGATTGATAGACTTATAAATGTCTAAGATAGATTCTGGCAAGAAAAATTGTTTAGCATGACACCATGAACCAACTTTCCTAGCAACAGATCTAGCAATTGAGTCAATATAATCTTTTGACTTTGTGTCAATGGAAAATGTTAGCCAAAGAAAGTGCAATGTGTCACTCTTCTGGAGGTCAGAATCAGCCATGCTGATAGCAGTCAAAAAAAGGCTCTGTATGACAAAAGTTTTGTTTTGGTGGCATTAAAATTAACAAGCCATTCTGTACACAAGTTAACAAGATTGTTGGTCATTTTTTAGATCACCTGCTAGTCTGACCTTATCGAGCTGATCAGACTTACCACAAAGGTGTAAATAGTTGTCATCAGCATTAATACCAATTTGGGAACTGATGATATCAGGAAGGTCATTGATAGGAATCATTTCCATTTGTGTTTATCAATTTTCATCATTTCCAGTGACTTGTTATCAGGTAATGCATCAATACCTTTTGAATAAAATTCTGCAGGTTTTGGTGTGCCAAGTTTTCAACAAACGCCTCTTGAATCTGGTCTTCATTAGAGAACATTTTTCACATCAAAGCATTTTGCAGCCATCAAAAAAGGTAACAACTGGTGCAAAGTTAGGTGAATATGGCAGGTCAGGTAGAGTAGACCAACCAAGTTTCAAAATTTTTCCTGTGTTATTCTGATCATATGCAGCTTTGCTCTGTCATGGATGAAAACAGCATTTTTCTATCAATCCACTGCGTACACTGCAACTGGTGTATAAAATCTAATGTATGTTAATATACACCAAAATTATTCTTAACTAGCATGCATGATTAGAAGTTAGGAATGATGCAATATTGCAATTGGTTCCCAAAAACGGAAATTACTTATGACTCAATGGTATGGTCCCAGAAGGGACATTTGTTGAGTGGCCGGGGTTAAATGTAAATAAATGACAGAACTGCCCAATAAACAAGATTGACAAAATTCCTAATAAGCAATGACAAGAAAAGAACAGTGCAAAAAATAATACAAAGCAAGCAACAGTAATATGGCAAAAAGTTCACACAAGAGCAAGTTCAGATAAACAAACGTAGCTTTCTGACTTCGAGACAAGACAGACCGGGACTGAGTCATATGAAACTGAGAACTGACTTGTTAACAATGGATGTAAAACTCTGCAAGCTGATTGGCATCAGCAGGGAGATGATGGAAGAGGCACAAAAAAGCCTAAAGATAACACCAAATATTCTGATGAAATGGTCCAATGCTATGTGGGACGTCCTTCTGGCAATGGAGAAAGAACTGGCAGGAAATGTATTAACTACAAAAGTACTCCAGTTACAGATGAAATACATGGGCACCCATCAGATGAATGATCGTTGTGCATGGGGTGCCCTTGGACCCTTCTTTTTTGCAAATTTCAATCAAGTTGGGGATGTTGCCTGTGTTATGTGTAAGGCAAGCGTGGCTACTGGAGACTTTGGTCTCCAGCTAACCCTGAACAGGAAGTTTCCTTGACATCCCTAACACACTGATGTGCAGAGGATGAAAGATGTTCATAATTGTTGAGGGAAGAAGACCCCACTGCTGGTCATGGGGTGCCACCAAGCAGTGAAAATGTGTCTGGCTAGAACCTGGTACCACAACCAAGTACATCGAAAGAAGCAATAGGGTAGGATAAGATCTGCAAGCCCCCCCCCCCCCCGATAGTCACAGTGAATGGAAGGAGATGACCAAGAAACGAGCAAAGGCTGATACTCCTCCTCCATCTACCCAGAAGGTTGTCCCACAGAGTAAAAAGCAGACGCCACAACAACAACAAAAGCAGCAGCAGAAAGAGCAGGTGCAGCAGTGTCAATATCAGAAGCAGGAGCAGCAACTTTAGCAACAGAAGTGGGAGCAGCAGCTTCAACAGCAAAAGCAGCAGTTACAGCAGCCTCAGAAGCAGGGGCAGAAAAGAGCGAGAGCAGGAGCTTCAGCAAGATCAACTGCTTCATCTGGAGCATCAGCAATGTGAACAGCAGCATCAGGTGGAGCAGCACTTCAAGGAGCTAAGCTTCAACACTCTTATCAATTTGGCAGAGAAAAGTTGGAGGGAGGATGAAGAGGAAGAAGAAAAAGAAAAACAATATAAAAAGGAAAAAAGTCTGGCTGAAGCAGGGTGGAACGAGCCATGGTACAAGCCAAGATACAATCTGCCCCTGTTTCACCAGTCAGAAATGACGATGCTGCCAAAATGGTAAAGCCAAGTGCCGACCCTACTTCTCCTGATAGGGCTCTATTATCTCTCTCCCCTAACCATCCTCCCACCAAAGGGAAAGACTGTCAGGTTGATGTGGCTCTTGAGAGGGACCTTTCCTCCCAGAGGAAGATCCTCCTGAGGCCATTATTTAAGTTTACCTCTGTAGACTTGCCATTGCCAGAAAACCCAAAGAACTTCCCTGAAGCACCTGGGGTACTTATGCTTATACAAAATTGTGGTAGTAAGCTTAAAGTGTGGGAATTTTTGAATGCAGCTAAGAAAACATCAGGTGGAGTCACTTGATCTGAAAAACTGGAAAAATATTGTGCAGGGAGGGCCTCGGTGTTACTCCATCCCTCACTAAATAGGGCCCAAAAGCTAACATTCCCTACAGATATTGGTGGTATTGTCCTGGATGCATGAATTATGTCCAATATAGGCACTGGCAGTCTGGGACAATCTGTTAGGTTCCTTTCACCTGCAGATTTCCATCCAGTCTGCATCTAAGGAGTTTTCTTGAAAAATCTCTATCAAGCTAACCAGTTTGAATACAAAGAGCTTGAGGGATTGGAGTAAGGCAGCCAACCTGCTTCGTGATCTCTTGACCTTTGCCATGGATGTGTATGTCTTTCCTCTCATCCTTTACTGATTGTACTCCAACTCTGTAAGAACCATAAGGTGCTCAAGTACTTGTTTTCCTCCCTCATGTTGGGTGGTGGCAAGCATCAGGTCTGCAGAGAGGTCTATGTCCAATGTCCATGTCATGGTGAGGGCTGAGAATGCCACACTTGGTGAGTAATCGAGATGCCTCAAGGTTGGCTTTCCTATACAGTGCATTGCCTGAGGATTCAATCATAGAAGGGAGTGACAGGTACACCTTACCATCACTCCTACCGTTTCTAGGCCTGAGCACCATTATAGGCCCTGGAATCGGATGAGATTCCTCAGAGAGTGTTGATCAGCCTTGAAGATCATTCCTCAGTCCAGTGACCTTTTATAGCTTAAGAGGCTCTTGTATCAGGAGTTAGTGGAGAGAGTAGCAAAGAACCCAAAAGACTGTGGGTGGCTTGGCTTGTTGGTGACCAAGTTGCACTCTTTCTGATCTTGGGCACCATTGATGGATTACCTCAGCAACCCTGAGTTTTCACTTACCTGGTGATTGATGCACTATCTCTCAATGACATAGCCTTCAGAGAGGGCTGGGTGGATTTGCTCCACTGTCATTGGTGCAACCTTGGTCTAGAGGAAACAGCTTCTTCTACCATTGTCTTCAGGTATGCCAATTCTGGTACTATATCTGCAAGTTTACGGCTCATATCGATCATAAACATCTCATGTCCATTGATCTTGTATATGCATATAATAATGTGTCGTTCCTGTATTCTGTAGGGTGTAGGGTGTTTCTTATGTTGCTAGCTGTGGCAAGAATGGTGGTATGTACATCGCAAATGGAGAGAATCTTGCAATCTCTCTCCCACTTCCCCTTTGGTTAGGTCTAGGATAGTAAGTGTTGACCAGCCTCTCCTCCCTTCTCCTTTGGTCTTCTGCCAAAATTATTAAATTATTAGCAATAAATTACTATTTCTAACAGGATCAGAGACAACAGCATTGCAGAACATCAAAGTAGCCAAAGTTATCTAGGTGAGGGTGGGAGGTTTTACTTCCAGCCACTGAATGGAGAAGCATGTAACCACACACATGTGTCTAGTTTTATAAAGCAAGGATGTTAGACAGATGGATGTATAAACAGCTACCAAAGAGAAAGAGTTAGGCAGTCTCTCATACATCACAGGCAGAGAATGTAAGGACCACATTTCAGACGAGGATGCAGGACTGCTTGCACCACAAACTGGTTAAGAGTATTTGATAAAGTCGGAAGTTGAATAAAATATAATGCTAAATGAGTTTAGTTTTAAGGAAATCGGGGAACTGAAAAAAAGGTCATGTTTTAGAAGAAAAATTCAGGAATTAAAAAAAATAAAAAACTGTGTGCTAAAAGGACAGTTATTCCATTAACACCGTTATTACTGCATACACTTTTGACTCCCTCGGCAATGTTTATTTACAAGATTATAAAAATAAGTGAATCAAGTACAATGTAATATTTATTATCTACCTTTATAAAGATTTATTATTATTTTAAGAAATAAATTTGAAATGAAATCTTTTAATTCAAAAAATTACAAAATTATCAAAATATGTAAACCAACTACAATGCAA